CTCACAGGCAGACCTTCTCATCTCGCACAACAAATTCCCCCCATCGGCGTCCAACAACCAGATTGCCCGGTACCTCTACTACCTGGGTCGCATCCGGGCCATTCAGTTGCAGTACACCGATGCCCATGGACACTTGATCGGTGCTACTCGCAAGTCGCCTTCCAGTCACAGTGCGCGCGGCTTCTACCAGGCTTCTCATAAACTGCTTGTTGTGGTGGAGCTTCTCATGGGTGACATCCCCGACCGGGCTATTTTCCGACAGCCCGCTCTTGAGCGCGCCATGCACCCCTACTTCCTCCTTGTTCAAGCTGTCAGTGTGGGTGACTTGGATGGGTTCCTCAACATTGTCAACACCCACAGTGCGACGTTCCGCAAGGATGGTACGTACACTCTTATCCTGCGTCTGCGCCAGAACGTTATCAAGACTGGCATTCGCATGATGTCCCTTTCCTACTCTCGCATCTCGCTCCGGGATATTTGCCTGCGTCTCGGACTGGACAGCGAGGAGTCTGCCGAGTACATTGTGGCCAAGGCTATCCGCGACGGTGTGATCGAGGCCAGCTTGGACCACGAGCACGGATTCATGAAGAGCAAGGAAGTGGGAGACATCTATGCGACCAGGGAACCCGGAGAGGTGTTCCATGAGCGCATCAGAGCTTGCTTGAGTCTCCACGACGAAAGCGTCAAGGTAAGGTTCCTACGAGGATATATCTTCTGCTCCATGCTCTACAGAGAGTTCTCAGCTGACTATTCTGTCATTAGGCCATGCGGTTCCCCATGAACCAACACCGCCTGGAGTTAAAGAGTGCGCAGGAGGCACGGGAGCGTGAGCGGGAGTTGGCCAAGGAGATCCAGGAAGGAGACATGGATGACGAGGATGCCGGCGGCGATTTCGATGCAATCTAGTGGGTGTGAAGTTATAAGCATACAGCAGCTTTTCGTTTGTAATCCTGTTATATCCCGTCCCGTTGGGGTTCAGAAACGGAGGGAAGCTTTTCAACAATGTGTTCTTATTTGCAGTGTCGTCGTTCGGGTGTGTATGAAGCAATGGGTAGGACTGAGCTTCGCCGGCGTGATCTCCCATGTCTCTTATATGTCATTGGACCGGCTTCTTTGTACTGTTGCACAGGTGGTTTCTGCTGTAGATGCTGTTCGGCCTGCCGAGTTTGTCTCTTGCGGGACGGAGGAGAAGCGTGACCTTGGGTTTATGTTGTAATTTCCCATCATAATAGATCAGAAAACCCTTGCAGCCATGATCATGTGAGCTGAATTGAAACAAATGCCTGTGATATTGTGTGAGTGTGAGTGTGCAAGACTACTTGAATACTGTAGTAGAGTATGGTGTGGTGGAAGACGTAGGGAAGATACAGGGAGAGAAACTAGATGCGGCAGGGACGGGCCCAGAGCCCCGACCCGGCCCGAGGCAACCTCCGTCTCGAAATCTTCGGCGGGTGTTAATTGCGCCTCATCCATCCATCCAGGCACTGGTGCGGCCCCGGACCTGGCCCGGCTTTCAATCATCCTCTTTCCCGGTATTATGATCTCAGCATCTTGTTTGACTCAATTCTAGGTACTTTCCTCACACATCCCCCGAAAATGAAAGCACGCACGGTGCCGGCATCCGGGCTGGTACTCTCGTCACGCGTCACGTCTTCCACGATAGTTTGCTGGCAATGCCTCCGGAATGAATTGGTTGCGAACCAATTCCAGCTCCAATCACGAAAATATCATCCCACAAAACGTAACAATGTATCGCCGCTCGGTGCCGCCGTCTCCGCAGCTCAGACCATCTTCAAAGGCCTACCCAAGGCACCTCCGGGCATCTCCGTCGACCCATTGCGGATGGTAGGAAAGGAACTCAAATTCTTGACGAAGAACCTCCGGCAGCTGCTCGGCTCCGGCCATCCTACACTGGACAAGGTGGCCAAATACTACACCCGCAGTGAGGGTAAACACATGCGGCCGCTTCTGGTGCTGCTGATGTCTCAGGCGACGGCGCTGTGTCCCCGGAAGACGGGCACGGACAATTCCGCAACAGTGAACGACCCAATCAGCTCACCCTCAATTCTCGTCGATAAGAATCCGGACTTGGATGCGCTCTCATCCGGTAGTGCAGATGCGCCGTACGACTTTGCCGGCGACAAGGACATCCTGCCCACCCAGCGGCGGCTTGCTGAAATCACCGAATTGATCCACACTGCGTCTCTCCTGCACGACGACGTCATCGATAATGCTGAGTCCCGCCGTTCTTTAACGTCCGCCAACCTTCAATTCGGAAACAAGATGGCCGTTTTGGCGGGAGACTTCATGCTGGGTCGGGCCTCCGTCGCTCTCGCGCGGCTGAGGGACCCAGAGGTCATTGAGCTGATGTCGACTGTCATTACCAACCTCGTTGAGGGCGAGTTCATGCAGTTGAAGAATACGGCTGCGGATGAGAAGAACCCCGTTTTCACGGACGACACCCTTTCGTACTATCTGCAGAAGACATACCTGAAGACGGGTAGCTTGATCAGCAAGTCCTGCCGGTCGACTGCCGTGTTGGGTCACAGCGCCCCCGAAGTTGTCGAAGCCTCCTACCAGTACGGACGTAACTTGGGACTGGCGTTCCAGCTTGTGGACGATATGCTGGACTATACCGTGACCGAGGCTGAATTGGGCAAGCCAGCTGGCGCGGACCTGGAGCTTGGTCTTGCTACGGCCCCGCTGCTCTTTGCCTGGAAGCAGTTCCCAGAGCTTGGCCCGTTGGTCGGCCGGAAGTTCAGCCAGCCCGGCGATGTTCAGAAGGTAATGCGACCCTGATTGTAGCAAACAAGCTTTGTCACTAACATTGATTGATCACTAGGCTCGTGAACTTGTTTTCAAGGCCGACGGTGTCGAACAGACCCGTATCCTGGCTCAGGAGTATGCGGATAAGGCTGTCGCTGCGATCTCCGACTTCCCCGACAGCGACGCCAAGGCTGGGTTGGCCCAGATGTGCGAGAAGACCATGAAGCGGAGAAAGTGAGACGTTTGAGCGATGATCCATCAGCGTTGCTTTGGGATTGGCGTTCATCTGAGTCTCCCCTTGTTGAAATTGGGCGCTACACAATGCCCCTGTACCACTACCTTCTCTGTATTATTGCGAGTCTGCTGGTGTAGACCTTCTGTATTATTGATAGAGAGCCTAGACCCATGGACTATTTATAACACAATTTCATTTTCGGTTGCATTGGTAATGGCATCTCTTTCAGTTTGATACTGATACTACAGAAATTTGAGCATGAGGTGTGATGGGCATCACACATGTAGATTGGCGAACGACTAACCAGGCTCACGTGGATGTACTTGCGCTTCCTTTCAATGTCAAGACCTACCGGAGAGTTTCTCCACCCACCTATCTCATGATTTATGCCGACGACTGAAGTAATTAGTCTCACCGAATGCGGGGATCTGCTTGTCCTTTTTGCTTATGATTTATCTGGTGTCCAGGATGGGGAGAGCAATATCAATTACTTTTGTTGACCCTAAAGCGATCATTGCTATTGCCAGGATTGACCTCTCATACACGCTTAATGTGTCTTCGCTAGTCGACAAGACTGCACAGGTAAAAGGCTCCATCTCCAGACTACTCATGTCAACTACTCGTGGCAAGCTACGCTGCTTCACGGTTCATGCTCTAGCGGTTACACGGCATCAAACAATTGAAACATGACTTGAATAATCTACAAGATTTGCTACTAATCTTCAACCTTGGACAAGCAATTGAACAGCAGCTGCGGGACGGTGTTCGGGAGGTGGTCTCCGTGCATTACTATCCAAGAACAATATGTTTGCATTACAAGCGGAATTCCCAGAAAGTCATAAATACCTTAACTTTCATCTACTGACACTCTGGTTCCCCAAGTACGAAAGCAAACTATACATTGTTGCACACAGAGTGAAATTTGCCAAATCATTAGTTGATATAGAATCCAAAAGACGGATCGGATGGCAAGGAAACAATTGTAGACTGCATTGCGGTGAGACCGCATGAACTACGTGCGCAAGCCAAATACGCTGACGCGTCAAGTATACAGCTTCCTCTAACAAGACAAAAATCAGCCGGTGCTTTCTCATTTAGAATTGCCGAGTGCTTGAGAATCTCCTCTCGTGTCTTCCCTTTCGTACTGTGAGGACTAATTTTGGCGACTATGCTAAAGCTGACTATCTCTCAAAACCTGCACTGCATCACAGCTACATGAACCACTGTCTATTCACCACACAAAGATCGACGTCGTGAAAGCCACGTCATTTTTAAAATACTGCAGACGGTCTTATCAATTGACAATACGGCGGGACTGAGATTGTTTAAAGCAACAGAATTTAGTTGCACCGCACTAGCCTAACAATAACAAGCAGGGGAAGCTTCTCCGCCCCGTTGGCGCGCTGCCGAAACCCTAAATCTATAGCGTCAATCAATGCAGGCGCAGGCGGCCCGGATCTAGTGACCTGGTCTTGAGTCAAATGCCATTTTGAACAGTGAACAGCTACCGAGCTTGCGAACGGCAATAAGACACAGTATATCATGGCTTGAGCTTGTGTGGCAGCTGCCAACCTTCCTGTTCTTCTCAGTGGTAATAGTATTCTCTTGAACAATAAGCCTGCGTTTTCTTCGCCGAAAGCAAACCAGCTTATATAGCTGCCAGGTACTTCGCTTCCGTGTATTTGACGTAACGGGATCATTCCCTCGTTCCCCTCGGGACCGTGGAACTGTTATTTTGATATCGGGGCACGTTCTGCAATGGCTGAAAAAGAAGCCGCAATTAACACGCCTCCCAACGAAACCCGGGATTCCCAAAGCCCATCATCTGGAGCTTTAACAGAGTTACCACCATCTGAACAAAACTCTAATTTGTTAAGGCATCCTACAACATCAAGTTGAAACGCTGTGCTTAATATCTAAGGTGACATGGAATGGTCCCGAGGACCCGGGCCATCCAAGAAATTGGCCGTCGGGCAAGAAATGGGCGACCCTCATCCCCATGTCGCTGTTTACTTTCCTAATTTCCGTGATCTCAGCTATAATGGCTCCCGCCCTGGATAAGGTTCAGCAGGAACTCCATTTTCCGTCCAGTACAACGGGCGTTATATCCCTTTCTGTTTACTTGCTGGGCGTGGCAATCGTTCCCTTGTTTACGGCGCCTTTGTCAGAGATTTCTAGTAGAATGATAATCCTTCGGGCTACTGATGTACTCTTCATCGTCTTCAACACCCTATGTGGAACTGCAAGAACCCCAAATCAGCTGATTGGCCTTTGCTTTCTAGCTGGCCTAGGCGGCGCAGGAGCTAAGACGGTACGTACCATTCTGGTTCATCACGCCTCCAATACCGGCCCAAGTATTGACCACCAAAGATGGGCGCTGGCCTCACAACAGATCTATTTGAGCCTAACAAGCTGTGGTAGTGCTCTGTCTCTCTATCTCCTCGCCCCTTCGCTCGGCATGACAGTCGGCTCCATCGCTGGCGGTTTTCTCGTCCAATATACGACGTGGCCATGGTGCTTCTATCTTGTATCCTTCGCAGCTGGCGGGCGGTGCAAGTTTTTGGCCTGCCCGAGTTCGCCTGCTGGCCTTGATGATCGGTGCGGTGGTTATTCCTATAGGGCTTCTCTGGTATGGGTGGAGTGCTCGACCAGATGTCCACTGGATCATGCCGTATGAATAACCCCTTCCAGACCAAATTGTATCATGGATTTACTGACTATTACAGGAATATCGGCGCAGCCATTTACGGTGCCGGCGCGTTACATGAAATTCAGTGCATAGTAGGGTACATAATGGATACATATCCCAAGTATGCTTCCAGTGCGGTAGCGGCGGTTATGTTCGTTCGAAGTCTGCTTTCCTTTGCGTTGCCACTAGCCGCGCCGAGGCTGTGAGTGCGGTTGATACATCCCTGGTCTGTTCCATGCTGACCAAGCTCGGTCTCGGATGGGGGAATACACTTCTGGCTTTGATCGCGGTGGTGGTGGGCATTCCGGCGCCGATTTTGTTAAGGTGGCGCTACGGCGACGGAGTCCATATGCGCAGGATGATTAGCTTCTGGAAAAATTACAGTGATTTGGAAGTAAGTGAGTGCTATTAATCTCAACCCCTTATCCTGGCAGTTGAAATCTACTAAAATAAAATACATTGATGCCGAGTACTAGCACCTAGGTGTAAACAGTCCCCCAGGAACAAAAGCAGCCATCTAACCCATCCGAACTAGAATCGACTATCACCCCATAACCTTATCCAGCAATCTTCCCAACTCCTCTGCCGCAAACCCCGGATTTCCCAGTTGCACCACATGCCCGGCACCATCAGCAACAAGTGGTCCCCTCCCTCTCTCCTCATCTGTAATACCCAACAATCCCCGATGATACCTCTCCCAAAACGGGGTGACATACACCTCGAACACCCTTCCAGACACCTTCCCACCCGTCATCCTCACGCTCTCCTCCGCAAAAGTCTTCCCATCATGTCCAATGACCGTGACCCATGGCCCCCTTCCAGCATCAGGCCCTATCAGCCTCGGCCCACCACTCTCAGGCAACAACTCCGCCAGATTCCGTCTCGACAGGCCCTCCTTACTCCCCACAGATGGATGAAAGACCTTCCCCGCAATAGCTCGCGCCATGGCCAGATCCTGAACGGAGATGCCATCCTCTCTCGGCGGTGGAACAAAGCCCGGTGCAGTAGGATCCGGAATCACAGACACGAAATCCGAGTTGGCGAGGATGCTGTCGAGCAGGAGGAGGGCGGACACAGTGCCTGGGTACGTTTGGGCGTAAAGACGGGCGAGAGCGCAGCCCAGGGAGTTGCCTACTAAAATTAGGTTTAGGTCTGAGGGGGTTGTTGATGTGTGGAGATGGAGTCTGGCAATCTGCTGGATGAGTTGGTGGAGGTCGTCCAGGGCAGAGAGGATGTCGTGCCCGTGGCCTGGGTCTGGGGCATCCTGGTCGGCTGGATCCCTGGAGGGAGTCTGTCCTTGGCCGTAGCGGTCGTAGGTGAGGATGGCTGGGAGGTTGTGTGGGTGGGTGGATTGGAGGAGGTGGATGATGGGGATCCACGAGGTTTGGGGGGCTGTGAGGCCGTTGAGGAAGATGAGTAGGGTCTTGTTGGAGGATCGAGAGGCCGGAGGGTAAAATGTATAGCTTAGTTGGGCAGTGGGCTTGGTGGGGAGGGTTATGAGGCTGGTTTCTGTAGTTGTTGTCATTGTATCTTGGTGGTTGGTGGGATTTATATGTGGAGAGCTATAAATTATGAGATTCGAAGAAAAAAAGAAGGATAACAGAATGGCTGGAATATAGAGAAAGATGCTCAAAGAATCGAGTAGCTGAGAGAAAAATGGAGAGGAAGATTGAGGTTTATATATCTGGCTGATGCCATTCAGCTACTGTATACTAGACGTGATATCTAGCGATAGAGGATGGCTCAGCCTGAGGCAGGGCCCGCCCGGAACGAGTGGGCCAATCAGGGTGCTTGTACGCGGGAAAGTATGACAGCCCTAAGGCTGACCTGCTGGACAGCTTCACATGAGCTAAATGGTGGAGTTGCTTGATCTCGTATAAATTCTTTTGAAGTAATAATAAGGCTACTATTATTGCATTTGATCATACGAAACACTAGCAATTAATACGATGATCGAAGTACTGAGAGACTTCTAGGAAGTACGGAGTAGTACTGGTAAGACTGGGCCTCGGTAACGTCCTGCAACACGATGTTACTTTGACGCGCACTAGTACGTCCTTACCTAACGGTAATGATCATTTGGTTGGAAGGATGACTGCGTTCCTTGGCTGATACCCGTCTTTCAAAGCATAGTTGGGTATATATGAGCCATAAATGTAACTTGATCAAGGATGTCCCTGATGACGCGACAAGCTCGTGTGCAAGAAACAGCCAGGATTAAGGTTCCGTGGAAACCAATTGCGTCTCTAATACCTAAGAGTTACGATTATGTTCGGAAAACAAACAAACATAAAAGTTAACTTAGCTTCGATAGCTGCATGTGAATCACACCTTTTATTTTGCTTTTCCTTCCTCCATCTTGCATGAGGCAAGTCAATCGTGTAGTATTAATTCTCCGGGATGAACTGGTAACTTCTTGTATGCTAAAAAGTGGTATCTATCGAGTGCCGATAAGCTAAACCAACGATCTGCAGGCCCCGGGCGGATCACGGGACCATCAGGTGGTGAGGAACGCGGGGCAACGTTCTTCCCGGACCCACGGCATTCCGTCATGATCGATGGGAAAAGTAGTAGTACTGTAGTAGTAGTAGTTCCCAAGTACTCCGCTGGTCACTAACGGGTGTGTTGCCTACCAGCTAGCGACCTTTTAGTGACTCGTGAAAGAACACCCGGAAACCGCGGAGTTCCAAGGACTTGTCTGCTGCCCCAACTAGGAAAGGTGCTACTGTCACTCTGCAACAATCCACCTCCAACTTACAACATCATCTAAACTTGGTTGTTCCCTTCCTTCATCTCCCCCTTGCCCTTCCTCCCTCCCTAATTTATCTCCTTCACCCATACTCTCCAGGTATACTATACACTTGTCCTTTCGCTTCCCCTTCTCCCCCACCCCTCTCTCCCTTTTATACATTCGAGCTGGTCCTCATTTATCTTCCCTTCCCCTCCAGGTTCGAACACTCTCGCTGCCTGCCGCCTGCCTGCCAGCCTGCCACTTGGTCTTTCGTTTTCTGAGCCTCATGATGATGGAGGTGCTGTTAACGCTGGCCATTTGAACGTCCGGCTCCCCACCCCAATGGGTTCCTACGCCAGCTTTCTCTTCATATACGTCCTCGGCGGACTTACCTTCCTCCCGCTAGTCCTGTCGCTGGTCGCTCTCTTCGTCTATCTGACCCTCCCGACTGCCGCTCCGTCCCCGCCGTTCTCCTCCGATCAGAAATCATGCCATCCCCAATCTTCTTCGACAACTCTGCGCCGTCCGACCGATGATCATTACAGTCTTAAGTCTGGAACGGATGAGTTGGCCGAGAAGTTTCATCGTACCCATGACTCCGATGTCGCCGCTGGTTATTTCGCCGTTTGTCGTGAATATGTCCCCGGTGGTGTTAATGGGCGACCGCCTGAGAGGACCACCCCGGCTGGGGAGGTGATCGCCGCGGAGAGTCCGAGCGTGTATCAGGCTATGTATAGGAGTTTGTTCGATCGGAAACAGGCTCCGACGATCGAGCCGGCTAAGAATACTCCCAAGAATGGGAAGCGGGCGCGTAATGTCTTCTATATTGTTCTTCGGTATTTTCGACCCTTCTCCGCCTCCGCTTGATTCCTCTTTGTTCCACGAGTAGGAAACACGGCTGATGCTAATGATCGACACAAATTAGACATGGCCATTTGATGCTCTACGATAATGCGAACCAGGTGGAAGTCCGATATGTTATTTCGCTTGCCCACCATGATGTTAGTATTCATGGTGGAGAGGGCCCGATCCCAGAAGGAGAACTGTGGCTAAAGAGAAACGCCATCTGCCTCTCGCGACGACTGGAGTCGCTGGGTGATCTTGGAGGACCTACGCCGCCTTTCTTCCTCTTCTCCGAAAACCTGTCCGAAAAGGAGGACTTCTATTTCGCCATGCTCCAGAATCAGGCTCGCATGTGGAACTCTCCAGATGCTCCTCCCAAGCATCAGACGTTTGATGTCAAACACATCGTCACCCTGGTTCAGCGCTTGCATTCGTCCGAGGAGCAACTGCAAACGCGATGGATCAACGCGGTGCTGGGCAGGTTGTTCCTTGCCATGTACAAGACACCCGAAATGGAGGAGTTCATTCGGAAGAAGGTCACCAAGAAGATCTCCCGCGTCAACAAGCCCAACTTCATCAGCAAGATTGGTCTCCAAAAGATTGACATGGGGGAAGGTGCGCCCTTTATCATCAACCCTAGGCTCAAGGACTTGACGGTCGACGGCAACTGTTGCGTAGAGACGGATGTCCAGTATACGGGTAACTTCCGCCTGGAGATCTCGGCAACCGTGCGTATCGACTTGGGCCAGCGCTTCAAGGCCAGAGAAGTCGATATCGTCCTGGCGGTTGTGCTGAAGAAGCTGGAGGGTCATTTGCTGATCCGCTTCAAGCCTCCTCCGAGCAACAGGATCTGGATATCCTTTGAATCCATGCCGGATATGGATATGGACATTGAACCAATTGTCAGCTCCAAGCAGATCACTTACGGCATAATTCTGCGTACCATTGAGAGTCGCATCCGGGAAACTGTTGCGGAGAGTCTGGTGCAGCCGTTTTGGGACGACATCCCCTTCATGGACACTGAATCACAGCGATTCCGCGGTGGTATCTGGGAGCGAGAGATACCAAAACCTGATACAAAAGCAGATATTCCCGATGAGTCAGGTGCTCAGGATCAGCCCTCAGGTAGCACCAAAGAGGAGTCGATTGAAGTACTGAAGATCAAGGACGATCGCACCATGAGCGCCCCTGCGCTTGCCGAATCTGGCAATGGCATCTTAAAAGCCCGCAAGAATTCCAAGGCCTCCATAGGAGATTTGGAGAATATTAGTCCAAGCGCTCTATCTTGTGCGGTGGACAAATTCGGCACTTCGCCCCCACGGGTAATTCGGTCTCAGACCTTCTCTAATGCCGCCGATCCCGTCCTGACAGCTGACCATGGGAAGATGGACCGGGTTCTGTCCGAAACCAAGAGTGAAGAAAAGAGCTATGCGACCAGTGCTATGATCGAAATATCTAACCGGTCAGCTCCTGGATCGCCGGAAAAGACTCCTGCAAGCTCTCCTCCGGTTGCTAGTCATATGGTCCCGGATAGTGTATCCCAGAGTCGGGATCCGTCCATCATCGAATCATCCGGGAGCTTCGATGAGTCTGCAAGCGAGTTTCCTACCCGGCCGCCCTCTATTCACCGTGGAAGCGATTCATCGAACAACCTCCGGGGTATGGAGAGTGGTTCTACTGCATCCCTGGCGAGCAACAAGTCGCGACGTCGCAGCACACTCGAAACATTGACCCGGTCGATTACCTCTGCCACTCCCTCAGAGAGCAAATCCCCTGGCCCGCTAAATACGGCCACCTCCGTGGCCAAGAAGTGGGGATGGAACATGTTCGGCAGAGGCGAGTCTAGCTCCGCTCACGATATGTCTCGTCCTGCGGGCACTCCGGAGCAGCCGATAGGGCGTGGACACCCACTCCCACCCCCGGGGACTCCATTGCCGCGTCCTGACAAGGTGGGATATAAGAGGAACACCGTAGCGGTTCCCAAGCGTAAACCGGTGGCGTTGTCGAATGTTCCCGAGCAGAAGTCGGATAGGGAGAACAAGAGACCCGTTCCCAAGCCACCTCTACCCAGACGAAAGCCAATTTATCAACCCCAGGCGGAGGGGGCTAGGTCGGATGAGTTACTTGTGGTCGAAGCTCCATACGATTCGGGACCAAACAGCCCTGTGGTGGACCTATCTCCTGAAGGAGCATCAGCAACCGAGTCGAGCACTAAAGGCTACAGCTCATCAACGAAAATAGGAGAGTCGGCTGCCAGTCGCGATAGTGGGGATGGTGAAGGCGAGCTTGAGCCGGTAGAGCAAGGGCCTGCGGCTCCTGATTCGAAGCCCAGACTTGACACGGAGAAACATGGCATGGAAATCCTCTCCGCTACGGACGGGATTATTCCATGAGGAAGAACACATTAGTGACATGCAGCAGAAAGATACGGGGAACATAATAACGGAGTGATGTCGCATTTACCCTTGGCAATGCATAATGGAAGCTCTGCAGTGCAGGGCGGTCTCTACAGGAACGGGCGTTTTCATATGGACAGGGAGGCGTGAACTGAGTCCGGTGCCGTGGTGCAGGATGATGGTTCCCTTCCTTGGCTTCTCACCCATGGTATACCCTCTCAGCTGGTTCTTGAGCGTGCTTGACAGTGTCTGGCGTCGATTGCGATCTGGTGTCAAACTCCCCATTCTAGTCGTATATTTATTTGGTTTTTGATTGCTTGATAGATGGATGGTTTCTTAGTAATTCAGAGCAGAACATTTTCCTCAATCATCTTTTATTGTAGGCAGTGGCAGTGGCAGTAGCAGTAGCAGTAGCCGTACAGTGTAGCCTGTTGGTGGCCAATTGGGCAGGGTTGAATGATTGGGCGACAAAATCGCTGCCTAGGTGAGATCCGGTGGATAGCGAACCCTTTCTTTTATTTGCAGTAGATCCAGAAGGGTGACGAGTCCCTGTGAGGAACGGGCGGCGGTGCCAAGAACCGGCCGCGGTGGCAGTTTCCCTTTCGGACGTCATCTCGCCTTTGCTTCTCTCTGCCTGTTGCTATTTCAGTCCACCTGCCTTTTATTCCCCTCACTCACTCTCTCCCTCTAGTTCTCCTGCTCTCTTTTTTTTTTTTTTTCCTGCTGTGACGGACCCTGCTGGACGATCGCGTGGGTGGCCATTGCTCTCTGCAATCCTTGCCCTGACCACTTATCGCACTTCTCCCTCCTCCCCTCTCCTTTCTTGAGGATAGCGCATTCCCCGTGCAACTAACTGGCTGATTGCGCTGTCCGCATTACGGGCCCACCGGCTCCCGCCGCATCTCTCCGTCTTCTGTTCCCCTGATCTAAGCCCATCCAGAGCTTCGCAACCATCACCATGAGTCGGTACGTGATATTTTCTGGAGGTGCCCGTGCGCTTGTTGTGCTTTTTGTATGGAATTGCTGACATGACCCATTGGATTTCAGCACGGAGACTGATTTGGCGATTAACATTCGCAAAGCCACGAGCATCGGTAAGTCACAGCTGCAGTGCTCCCCTGATACTTACTAGTGACTGATCATATCGCAATCACAGAGGAAACCGCCCCGAAACGTACGAATTACCCCTCCCAAGCTTGCTGCTATATCGACGGAGCTCTCCTCCGGTCACACCCACCGAATAATCACTAATCCGCACCCAGGGAAACATGTTCGGAGCTGCATCGTGTACACATGGGATCATAAATCATCCAGCGCCTTCTGGGCTGGCATGAAAGTGTATGCTTGCCTGTTTGTGTCTTTAATCACTTTCATGCATAAGCTGACTCTATCGCGTCTCCGTTTAGCCAACCTGTCCTTGCCGATGAAGTCCAGACGTTCAAGGCGCTCATCACGATACACAAGGTGCTTCAGGAAGGTCACCCGATCGTGGTCCGTGAAGCACAGCAGCATGTCAATTGGATCGATAGTCTAATGCGTGGTGTTGGTGGAGATGGTATTCGAGGTGCGTATAATCCCTATTGGGGGGAAGATGGAAGACAGCTGACGTGGAGCTGGGATAATAGGATACGGCCCCCTCATTCGCGAATACGTCTTCTACCTCGAGTCGAAGCTGGCGTTTCACCGGAACCATCCCGAATTCAATGGTTAGGACACCAATACGACGCCCCCCCGGCATGGGTACTGATCGATTTAGGCCTATTTGAATATGAAGAGTACATCAGCTTGAAGACAACTAATGACCCCAATGAAGGGTACGTCGGATATGCAATTGAGATTCATGTGCATAGCTGACAACCGTCTAGGTATGAGGCAATTACAGATCTCATGACATTGCAAGATCAGATCGATGCTTTCCAGAAGTTGATCTTCTCTCATTTCCAATCCGGCACCAACAACGAATGTCGCATCTCCGCTTTGGTCCCTCTGGTGCAGGAGAGCTACGGCATCTACAAGTTTATCACCAGCATGCTGAGGGCTATGCACACGAGTACGTCTGTTTCCCAATGTGATGGTTCAATAATTACTGATATGGTCTGGTTTAGCAACGGGTGATACGGAAGCGCTTGAACCCCTCCGCGGTCGATACGACGCCCAGCACTACCGCCTCGTCCGCTTCTACTATGAATGTTCGAATCTGCGGTATCTTACTAGCCTGATCACTGTCCCCAAACTGCCACAGGATCCTCCAAACTTGCTGTCGGAAGACGACGAACGTCCCGCTTTGCCGAAGCGACCAGTCAAGGAACCCGAGCCCCAGCCGTCTCCCCCGCCCAAGATGACTGCAGCAGAGCCGGAGCCTATCAGCGATTTCTGGACCACCGAAGCCAAGCGTCAGCAAGAAGAGTATGAAGCCGAGCAACGCCGCTTGCAGCAGCAATGGGAGGATCAGCAGCGGCAACAACTTCTCGCGCAGCAGCAGGCTCAGCGCGACTTCGAGGAACAACAGCGCCTCCAGGCCGAGCAGCAGCGCCTCGCTCAGGAACAGCTTTTGCGCGATCAGTACCAGACACAGACCCAAGGTCGCTTGGCCGAGCTTGAGCAGGAGAACTTGAATGCCCGCGCCCAGTACGAGCGTGACCAGTTGATGCTGCAGCAGTACGACCGTCGAGTCAAGGACCTGGAGGAACAAATGAACCACTTGAACTCCAACCTCAACCTGCAGAATGCGTCGAAGGACGAGCAGATTCGGTCGCTGCAGGAGCAGGTTAACACGTGGCGGTCCAAGTACGAAGCCTTGGCCAAGCTTTACTCCCAACTCCGCCAGGAGCACCTCGACCTATTGCAGACGACGAAGAGCCTTAAGCTGAAGGCAGCATCGGCACAGGAGGCTATTGAGCGCCGTGAGAAGCTTGAGCGTGAGCTCAAGACCAAGAATCTGGAGCTGGCCGACATGATCCGCGAGCGAGACCGCGCACTGCACGACAGAGACCGTCTGACCGGAAACAACAAAGAAGAGCTGGAGAAGGTTAAGCGGGAGCTGCGCTTCGCCCTCGAACGAGCTGAGAATGCGGAACGCTCCAAGGGCACGGAGATCTCGACACTGTTGTCGAAATACAACAGAGAAATGGCAGACTTGGAGGAAGCTCTCCGGGTACGATTGCCCTCCCGGGCTCAGTTACGAACATTGCTAATATTGGACATAGAACAAGTCTCGTGCCTTAGAGGAAGTCTCCAACAAGACCTCGGAGCGTGCAGGCGACCACGACCTTGCCCTGCGCGAAAAGGACGAGGAAATCGAAGTGTACAAGTCGGGAATGGAGCAGGCTTTGATGGAATTGGAGGAGCTGAAATTGGTATGTGATCAGCGCGAAACGTATGGTGGTATGTCGAGCTAATGGATGGCGCAAATAGAGCCAAGGTGATGTCGACAACGCGCTGGACTCGCAGATTGACACTGTTCTGCACGGCACCGTCTCTAAGATCAACGATATCATCGATTCGGTTCTCCAGACGGGTGTCCAGCGTGTGGATGATGCTCTGTATGAGCTTGACTCCTCCATGCAGGCTGGTAACCAGAACGCCTCTCCGCCGTATGTGCTGTCGCAGATCGAGAAGGCTTCGGCCTCGGCCACCGAATTCTCTACGGCCTTCAACAACTTCATTGCGGACGGGCCCAACAGCACGCATGCGGAAATTATTCGGACTGTATCCATCTTCGCTGGCTCCGTCGCCGACGTGCTGAGCAACACCAAGGGATTGACGCGTTTCGCCAACGACGACAAGAGCGCGGATCAGCTGGTCAACGCAGCCCGCAAATCCGCCCAGGCGACAGTGCGGTTCTTCCGAGGCTTGCAGTCTTTCCGTCTTGAGGGACTTGAGGCGCTGCAGAAGACCGATGTTGTGATCAACAACAACCTCGAAGTGCAGAGGGACTTGCAGACTCTCTCGAAGCTGGTTGATGCATTCGCGCCGAAGAGTGCCAAGATTGCCACCAATGGCGATCTGGGCGACTTGGTTGACCAAGAACTTACCAGGGCGGCTGATGCTATCGATGCTGCAGCCCAGCGACTGGCCAAGCTCAAGAACAAGCCTCGTGATGGCTTCAGCACCTATGAGCTTCGGATCAATGATGTCATTCTGGCGGCTGCTATTGCAGTGACCAACGCCATCGCCGAACTCATCAAGGCGGCTACCGCGTCGCAGCAAGAGATTGTCCGGGAGGGTCGTGGTAGCTCTTCGCGGACGGCTTTCTACAAGAAGAACAACCGCTGGACCGAGGGTCTGATTTCAGCAGCCAAGGCAGTCGCCAGCTCGACCAACACCTTGATTGAGACCGCCGATGGTGTCATTTCGGGTCGCAATTCCCCCGAGCAATTGATTGTCGCTTCCAACGATGTGGCGGCCAGTACGGCGCAGCTGGTGGCAGCCAGTCGTGTCAAGGCTACCTTCATGAGCAAGTCGCAGGATCGTCTCGAGACTGCTAGCAAGGCTGTTGGTGCGGCCTGCCGGGCCTTGGTGCGCCAGGTGCAGGATATCATCAAGGAGAAGAACCAGGACGATTCCGAAGCGGTGGATTACTCGAAGCTCAGCTCCCACGAGTTCAAGGTGCGGGAGATGGAGCAACAGGTACGTCCAACAATCCGATCTTTTTATCGATTAATGCTAATGACTTCTTCAGGTCGAGATCCTCCAACTGGAGAACAACCTCTCTCGGGCTCGTCAACGCCTGGGAGAGATGCGGAAGATTTCTTATCAAGAGGACTAAGTGGCTGCCAGCATGTTGGTCATGGTTTAGTGGGTGGAAGCAGACTGGGAGATCTGGCTCTTCTGGCTTTGCTGCAATTCTATTCGGGTTGTGTTTTCTGTGACATTGCTTGTTTGTTGGATATACCAAGAGTAGCAGCCATGCGTGTGTTTGGGCGATTATGCTCCGAGCTATCGTTGTACTGTATATAATCAGATCGCAAGGATTCCTCAGTTACTGTATTCTCATCTTTTAGCTTCACAGCGTATTTTACCCGATTTCATTACTACTGGGGTCCACTCATATCATAAATTATCCAATTCATACTACCATGATAATCAAAACCTAAACACATGACGAAATCCCCAACACCCAAATGAACAACCAAATACCTCCTGAGAACCACTCTCAACACCAGGCATACCACCTCCTCCTCGACCCCCCAATCCCACAACTTGACCTCCCAGACGACGACGACGATGACCCCTCCCTTTCCCTATCCCCCCTCTCCCTCATCCATTCCCAAAACGCCCTCCCCGTCTCATCCACCAACCCAACCCCACCACCCAACACCCCCTCCTGACGCGCCGACACTACCTTCCACCACCCATCCGTATCTCTCGTTATCCCCGCCCCGCTGAGCACCCAGTCCCGCGCTTGCTGGGCGAGTCCGTTCTCGAGTTGAAATGTGCGGAGGGTGGAGAATGCAGATTGTATCTTGGAGGTGGTGATGGGGGCGCGGAGAGTTGTGTGTAGGGTTAGGAGGGAGGAGAGGTGCGAGTGGGATTGGGATTGGGGTTTGAGTTGCGGGTGGAAGTGGAGGTGGGTGTGTTGGTTATAGAGGCTGAGGAGGGTGCCAAGGGTGAGGGCGTCTTCGATGGCTGTGGATGTTGTTTGGAAGAGGTGGGGTGGAATTGTTTGGGTGGGGAGGTAGGTGGGGAGGTGGGTTAGGAGGGATTGGGGAGGGGTGTTCTGGGTTGGGGTTTGGTGGTGATGAGTGTGGGTGTGGTAGGAGAGGGTGGTGGGTGTTAGGGTGGGTGTGAGGGTGAGAATGGTTTGGAGGCTGTATTCGTTTGTTGTTAGTTAGGCTCTGATCTGGGGTAGAGGGGCCAGGGAGAGGGTTGACGAACCGGGTGTCCCAGCCTGTGCATATATCTTGGGCGGTTGGGGTGGTGCTGGGACTGCTATCAGTGTTGGTATGGTATATGTTCAAGATGAATGTTTGGCCGTGTCGGATGGGATAGAAGACGGCGTGTTGGTTGGGTCCGAGCCAGACGGTGGTGCTGTGGCGGCCTTGCCAGAGTTCGTCGATTTTAGGGTTGTTGAGGGCTTCGAGGTGTTTTCGTGAGATAGTTGTTTGGCAGATGGTTTCTGGATCGTTTGGTGTGCTTGGTGAGGGGGGTTCGTTGATTATTTTGTCTGGTATCGTGAGTTAGAAGGGGTTTGTGTAGAATGAGTAGAGTAATTACCGTCTGCTTTGATCACAACATCTCCTTGTAGTCTCTCTCCGTCTTCCAGGATTACTTCTGCAGTCGCACTGTTTACTTCTCGCACTGCGGCAGATCGGATCTCAGTACCCAATTCCCGTGCCCTGTCTCGGAGGATCTGGAGCAGATCTGTGCGATGGATTGATCTCCATACAGTCAGCATATCTCTAGTACCTGAACGAAAGAGCATGAGTATAGCTTACATCCATGGCCCTCCATATTCTCGACACGTCTCCTGCCCGCATGGCATTGATCTAATCACTCCACCGTCGGCATATCGTCGGAAATCAATTGTCTGGAGGATATCACCCTTCTCGAGTACTGCATCGAGCAAACCCAATCGGCGGAGGAGATGTGTTCCGTTAGGAGGGATCTGGACGCCCGGGGAAGTCTAAAGTAAGAATATCTGGGTAAGCTGGTCTATTTTTGATAATTGATGGTCGGGCGCATTTGGAGATAGAAGGTTCGTGGTACCTCAGTATCTTGACCAGATTCGAGCACGATCACGTCCAGATTGTCGCGACGACAAGTAATTGCGCACACAAGGGCTGAAACGTCCCCTCCTATGATAATGACTTTCATGGTGTCTTGATCCGCGCTCTCAGCTTTTCTGTTTCCCGGGCGGATACTACAGTAAACAGCAGGTGGGTTGCTGAATATATTGGGTGTGAAATCCGGCGTCAGTTGCACAGAATCCCTCGAATAGCCCTGGGAGCCATTGTGCTATTTAACCTTTGCCAATGGTTGTGTATCCATCCATTTCTTTTTCCTACGGAGCGTCTATTCGGCCTCGGGCGTGACCGGATCACAGGGCAGTGGCCGCTTCTGCAGGGAGCCAAAGCAAACTTGACCCATTTCTGTCAGCCGTGCAGCTGGCCTGGGCCTCAGCCTTGGGAACTAGGCTGTCGTGGTGGAGTACTATTGGGTAGCATGATTACTTTGTTTGGATGCACACGCCACGGAAACAGTGCTTTTCCTTTGTGTCGTCACTTTCTGCATTCTCGGTGATGCGGGGTAGAAAATATCCTAGAAGGCATTCCATTATTGCAATGGCTCCAGCCACCGCTTTTCGTCAGAGCCGAGTGGTTTGGGCATAACTTCGCAGCCGATCTCAACCCCTTCAATGTTCGCAGCGTGACGAATGGCGGTCATTTCCCCAAACCCCGTGCTCCGGGTCTCGAAATACTCGGTCGGAACATTTTGGGGGCGAGTATAATCTGGTGACCCTTGAAACCCTGTTTTCCCTTCGTATTGGCCTAACGAGCGCAGGTATTTCATCACCCCTGCTAGCGAGACATCCACCTGCCAGGATCCCCCTTCCGTTGCTTGCTTGTACAGCGCGGCCATGATCCCGGACGCGAGGAAGAAGCCACCGGCATGATCGAGCGCCTGACAGGGAAGTGGACGTGCGGCTTCCCCAGCACCGAAGTGCTCGGCCTCCGAAACGTTCATGCCGGAACAGGTTTGAACCAGGGAGTCAAAGCCTCGACGCGCTGACCAGGGGCCATCGGGGCCGTATGCAGACATGTTTGCGTAGATGATACCACGATTGGGACGTCTATTCATGATCGACTCTGGCGAGAGTCCACGGGCAGCTAGACTGCCCGGTCTATACCCCTGGATGAAGACATCTGTATTGTCGAGCAAAGCGAAGAACTCCTCTGTGTCTTGCTCGTCTTGTAGATCGAAATGGACGGTTCTCTTTCCGCGGCCGAATTCCCGATCGAGTCCTGGCAGGTCGGGTAGATGAGGACTTGTCACCCAAAGCACATCGGCTCCGTGTGCGGCCAGTGTCTTCCCACACAACGGGGCCGCAATGACCCGCGATAGTTCAAGAACACGGAGCCCCCGCAGGCATTTATCGGCATGTGGGCCGATCCGGGCGGGAAGACCAGCCGGGGCGTCGCCGATTTTGCGAAGCAGGATGGGAAAGTCTGCGATGGCTTTGGCTTGCGGCAACACATCCCATTGTTCGTAACTGCGGAGAGCAGTAATGGCCAGCTTGGCATCAACGGCAGTGGTTTCGAGGTCCACGGAGCGCCATGCCGAGATCTTGGAAGCTACATCGTCTCTAGTTGCGGTTGGAGAGCAGCCAAGAAGGGATTTTGTCCCCTCACGGTGGTTGGGGAACGAATCGTGAACGCGGACGTAGCCGTCAGATGATCGATAAAGACCGCCAATGAGCCCCCAATCTGAAGAGGGAGGCTGGCCGTTCAGAGTGTACAGGCGTGCGGAGTTGAACTCAATACAGGCATGATCATAGGGGACGGTAACTTTGGGAGGGGCGATGTTATTCCTGAGGCTATGGATTTGAGATGCCAGCAGAGCAGAGAGGGCAATTGAGGCTTGGGCGATATGGCCGATTTTGAAGGAGGAGGGAAAGCCGGGATTGGGAGGTTCGCTGATAGAGAGAGAGTCAAGGGTGTCTGGGGGAAGATGGAGACCCTGCCAAAGATACGTGATGGTATCGCGAGATGTAAATGTAGACCTGACTTTGAAAGACATGGTGGATCATGTATGATGCCAAGTACTAGGTTGCAATGATGGGTTTATATGCTGCTGAACTTGAGTAGATAATGATCGGGTGGAGACACGGATGGAAGAGTGAGTCACTCGGCAACCTTTAAGCCGTCTGGATTAAGGCAATAGTCAGCCTTCATTCCAATTGTTAAGCAGTCTCTAAAGATTCTTCGGTGGGAGTTCCCTTCATACCCAAATGTTTACTGATCTCGCTGAAGTGGAGGGGAACCCTGATTGAAGGTCAGGGAAGTATTCGCTCGAACGGACAGCGAAGTAACAATGTGATCCTATCCAAAAGAATATCTCGAGAGCCACCTCCGATAGGAAGTTGCCGCCCCACTGATATCTTGGATCAATACTATCACGATAGTGGCATTACTGAGGAAGAAAGGAAGAGGAAGAAGAAGATATGGAAAAGATGCGGCGATAAGTCCGGCTTATCAGGCACGCGTGCGGGGTAGCCCCGATACTATATCATCCATATAATCCATCCAACTTCACAACATCCACTTCACCCTACACTACTCCATATCTCTAACTCTCCAACATGACAGCCATGATACCTCACGTCTCCAACTGGGTCAATGGCACCCACACCACCGCAACCACACCCGGTATCCCCGTCATCAACCCAGCCACCGAGCTCCCTATCGCAACCATCGACTCGACCTCCAAAGAGACCGTTAATCAAATCATCACCTTATCCCTGAAAACCTTCAACGATGGCTCTTGGTCCCGCGCTGATCAATCCACACGCTTCACGGTCCTCTCGACCGCAGCCCGTCTCCTCCGCTCCCGTCTCCCAGAATTCATCGAACTGGAAACTCGCCAAACCGGCCGTCCCATCCGCGAGATGCGCGCCCAGCTAGCTCGCATCCCTGAATGGCTCGAGTACTTTGCCTCCGTAGTACGCGTGCACGAAGGCCGAGTAACTCCTTTCAAGGGACCAGTCGTGAACACCCTGACACGGCTACCGCTCGGCGTGGTGGCACTGATCACCCCATACAACCACCCGCTTCTCATCGCCATGAAGAAGATCGGGGCTGCACTGGCCGGTGGGAACGTGGTCATCGTGAAAGCATCAGAACTAGCACCGCTGTCTGTGCTGAGGCTGGGTGCCTTGTTCAAAGAGGCGGGGCTACCTGATGGCGTGTTGCAGATTATCAGCGGATACGGGTATGAAACGGGGAAGTATCTGTGTGAGAGTCCATTGCTGGCAAAGATAGACTTGACTGGTGGACTAGCAACATACAGGGCTATTGCACCATCTGCATCGGCGAATCTCATCCCCATAACGGCTGAACTAGGCGGGAAGGCACCTGTGTGCTTGTTCCCGGGCGTGGGTATCGAGGATGCGGTTAAGGCAGCGCTGTTTGCGAGCTTCATTGCTAGTGGACAGACATGTGTTACGGGGAGTAGGCTGCTTGTTCATACGGATATCTATGACGAGTTCACGGCGTTGCTGAAGAAACGGGTTGAGAAGTTACGGCTGGGCAATCCCCTTGACGACACGACACAGATCGGAACGGTTATATCTAAGGCAGCGGTGGAAAGGTGCGCTGCATTTGTGGAGAGAGCTGTGCGGGAGGGTGGGAAGGTCCTTTGTGGTGGACATGCGACTACCAATCCCTCAACTGGAAAAGGGTACTACTTCGAGCCGACGGTCATTGAGACGCGTCCACAGACGGACCTGGAATGTAACGAGGTGTTTGGACCGGTCATTGCGCTGATCAGGTGCCAGTCGGAGGAGGATGTCATTCGCATTGCCAATGCGTCTTCGTTGGCGCTGGGGGCTTCAATCTGGACGACTGATTTCTACCAGGCACATCGAGTGGCGGACAAGATTGAGGCAGGGATTGTGTGGATTAATGGACACCATCTGAATGATCCGTCGTCACCGTGGGGTGGCTTTAAGCAGAGTGGAATGGGGAAGGAGAATGGGTTGGAGGCGTATGAAAGCTATACAAAGGTTAAGAGTACGATTATCAATTATGGGGTGCCCCCGGTTTGGTTTGACGATGAGCCTGTGAATGCTCGCTATGGATAGTATAGGTGTGTGGAAACTAGATTGGTTTGTTAGACAAGAAGGGATGTTGGATTACTTTCTGTCCCTAACGACTCTTATTACTCTGGTAGTTCTAGAAATTGATACACCCGTTATTGCATGTTATGTGCAGACACAAACTACACGGTACTATGTGCAAAGCATGACTGAACCCTGTGCCATCTCCTACCCCAAGCCCCGTTACCTCCCCACTCTGTTCACAGAGAAGCCAGTGCAGAGAATAGTGCCACCCAACAGTAGCTGACCACAACCATTCAGACAGCACACAACCATACTCCTAACCCAGCTTCCACTGCCTCAAAGTCGAATCATTATGAGCGATGAGTAGGAACTCAGAATTGCTGGAGCAAACTCGTCCTCTAATACCCGCCGCACCCGGGGGAAACTCATGCATAGCAAGGGACACGAAATCATAGACCATAGTTGCCACACCACTCCAGTTATAGACGAGCTTCTTTCCACCATCGAAAAACTGTATGTCGGAAGCCAAGTAGGAATCCGGATCATCTTCCACCCCACGTTGATACGGAAGCCATTTCATCCTTTCCAGCCCATTTGTAACATCCCAGAGGATAAACTCACCAGAGTGGCCTGCGGTAGCCAGGAGTTTGCCATTAGGACTCCAATCCATAGACTCGATTGAAAATGCAGGACACTCCCACTCGAATATCAAGGCTCTAGTGGCTATGTTAAAGATTCTTATCTTCGATGGTCCAGTGCCGTCCAGGACCAAGGCGATCTGTTTGGAATCCGGGGAGAATCTCCCACTCCATGCGCCAGCAGTGTGAGTAAGGCAAGGGAAGCTTTTGAGATTGCCACTGTCAGCAGACCAAAATAGAACCGTGTTGTCCCTTTGAATGGCTCCAATCAATTTTGAGTCTGGACTAATGCTCACCCACAGGAATATACCCGAGTTGCTAGACAAGATGTGTCGAGGCCGCCTGGCTTCGATATCCCAGACTATGATTTCCTGGAGATGATGCCAAGGTTCTTTGGTCCTGAAAGCTTCGTCCTGGGTGAAACATATCATGAATTTCCCGTCCGGACTGAAGAGTGCAGTATTTCCTTCCAGCTTGGTTTGATACTCGCTCATATGGGTATCCAATGCTTTGCTCAATGTGTCCTTGATTGCCTGTTGTATTGGCAAAATAGCTTCCTCATTTTGTCGCCACCCATGGGTCCGGACAAGCTTCGTAGTTGTTCCTTCAGCTGCTTCGGTCGAAAGCTGCAACATGTCGACTTTCTGAACGCCCGAGGAATCCAGTATATTCCCTTCGCTATTGAGATACCAAACTTTGATCTTGTCCGCTGATGAAACAAGAATATATCCCCCAGTACTTGTCGCATTTGGTGCAAAGGAAAGTTGCAAGATGTTGATTGGCTCTTCTCCTGATTCATCAATGAATTTGAAAGTGCTACCCACTCGCTTATAGATGCTTATGCGTTTCTCGAGTGCGATGGCAATCAACTTGTCATCTGCGCTCAAACCTAGAGCAGTTATAGATTTCGAAGCCTTCAATTTGGAACTCTCATGGCCCATACGGTGAGTAGGTGCAGATGGCTCTAGAATTCCTTGATGATGAGTCTCAGGAGTACTTTCTTCTGGGTCTCCGTGAGGGACGTCCTGCGCTGAAGCTTTTCTCTTCTTTCGAGGACGAGCCATTTTCTTTTTCTTTTTATTATTTATTTTTTCTTTTCAGTTTGGAATATGTTCAAGAGGTTATCACCAAGAGGTTGATTTACAATTTCACTGATGACGAGTAAACAGAATGATGTGTCAGTAAAGTGTGTTATAAACAAAGGCCACATAGACGAGATTTTCGGTGGAGCAGAGGCAGCACCAAAACATCCAGATCATCATTCACTGCGGATACCATAGAGGCCTTGGGCTCCAACTGCCTCGTTCGCCCCGGTCTGAGACTCTCGTTGCACACTATATGAAGACCTTATCGTAAGATGTGATGCAGAAATGGAAAGCAAAGATCATTCTTGCTTATTTGTATGTGTTCTTCTGAGTTGTTAGATACTTGAATAGCATCATCAGTGGAGCAGATGTTATAAAAGCTGTTGGGAAAAATAATTCTACTCTACGGTCCTACTAGAGCCCTCTGGATCTATTATAAGATAAGATCAATTATACTATCTACTCAAAAGTCGTGATAAGATGCGTAAGTTGATTGAAACATTCCAATGCACTCAAAACAATAATAGAATCGTACTTTCAAGTGCAAATGATATCTGATGTCATTTGCAACAGAGATCGCAAAGGAACCCGTGTCTAGATCAAGAGCCAATAGCTTGTGCCTGAATCTCAGGACTGTATACAGATGTTATAGTATAGGGAATCCACAGCCGTCGAGTTTTAAGCCAATCAGGATCAAACAACAGTATTACACAATACTAGGAGCAAATCAGCAGCATGAGTCAGGTACTAGGGAAGGTCATGCTATCCAATGCGGCGGAGGGGGTTTGGCTTACCTAGCTACCCAGTGACCATTGTGTGCGCGAAAAACGGGGTGTAGACGTTAAGGCCATCACGGTCTCTCACGAGAAACAAAACATGCTGATACCACTTCGAATGTAATAAATCCATCAAGGTAGTGTAGGAATGATGGTCAAAAACTTTCAAGTCCGGGGCTTTCACAGATAGGATTGACAGGTGTTCTGCATACTGGCTGAAGCAAACCGGACGGTAATACGTGAGCACTGTCAAATCCAGATTTCCGCGCGTTGACATATAAATCTAGACCGATTCATCATCAAAATGGAGGAGACAGGTCATATCGACTGGTCGATGGCGATGGAAAACCTGAGACAGTCATTGGCGTTGCTGTAATGGTGGCCGACAAGGAGGTTGAACGAAGACTTTGGGAAACCGCGGTTTAGGCTCAAAACAAAAGTACTGCAGAAGAGTGGATCTTTGATGCTGCAGGACAAAGTTCAGTTCACGGGCCCAGAGGTATGGAAAGCAACAGCACTGGGCAACTAATAGCCACCTGGAAAGCTCAGCAGCAAGCCCCTGGGGTCACCAGCCTATGGTGGAAGCATAACAGCACTTGTGGATCCACAGATGTCGCTGATCGCTAGACTTGAAGCAGTGGGATTTCCGGCGCCTCTAGACCTGGAACAGTGGACACGGACTCCCTCATTGCTGCTCCGGTCCGCATCCGTCGGTCACAATGGCGGGACTTGGCCTCTTTGTCCGCGAGGAAGTCAGTCGCGCGTGCAGAAAGTGGTTGGTTGGCGATGGAGGCAGACGAACTGAGGGGTCATGTCCATTTCCGTCCCGGTGGCGCCGCGTCGTGCCTTCTCGCCCGTGGCTCGTCCGCCTTATTTCTTTGTTGTCGCTCGCAACCGTGCAGCGAGGTGGAAAGTCATCTGTTCAACCTGTGGCTTCATAGCTATATCTGCATCGCCAATTACCGAGATAAATGTGTCGGACTCATGGGCGGACACGGAGAAGTTCGGAGGGTCGGATATCATCACGCTGGACAGCTAAAAGTTGCACCGCGCCTCCGTGCCATTTGCGGAGAGTGGAATACAAAGTTCAGGACATCGACCTAGTCCAGGTGCCCCTGTCTTGGATGCATCCTCGTCTACTATGTTGCGGAGGCCCTATTAGCTGTATCATGTGGCTGTGTGGAAGTTTATTTTGTATCGGTGTATCTATCTCCTAACATGAACATTTATGTACCGTCCAGATTATAGAGTTTTCCCCTTTTAACCATATTTCCCAGCGACACGGTCTGGGTATAGAAATATAAACAGGTAATCTTTGTAAAATCACGGTAACATAATACCGTGATGAGAATTTCGACTCTAAGATGCGTGAAGTTGTGTGGACTGAGGCCGCCGTCCAGATAGCTATCTTTGCGGGCCTTCGGTCTGGGGTGCGGTGAAAAGACGACAAGCTGATAATTCACCAGAGCGTCGCTAAACCCCGACAGTCGCTTGATGTGACGTCAGATATATCTTCGGACCACTGAGTTGTACGCTGTAGTGGCGTTGAGGTCCTTATTTGGCCCGGGTAGTCCATAATGTTTCCGTGATTGTTTTGTGTGTGTCGTGCTGAATATCGAAGAACATCGAGAATAACACCGGGCGTTAAAACTGCGGGCTAGATATCGGGAACTTAAGTCAACTTGTTCCGTGACGTTCGCAGAGCATGGCGGGTCAGAATATGCCACCCTCATAGTGGATGTGGGAAATACTGATGATCAGACGCAACTGTTATCGGAAACGCACAAATCATAAGTTTAGGTAATGGTCGATATTGATATTCGCCATCGGATCCGGGACACAAGGATCATGAGGGGGTAGTGTACTTTGGGCGGCTGAAACATATGATGGTAACATTGCTGGGTTTTCGCCCCAAAAATCGAGCATCTCGTCGTCAATGTTATATTCCTCAGCGACTATAGGTCCCCGCTCATACATTCGGTAGCCATGGCCGTGTAGCACTTCAGATTCATCAAGCGATGCTTCTGCGATCATCGTTTCCATTTCACCAGGACTTGGTGAGAAGTTATGGGAAAATGCGCTTTCTACAAAAGCATTCCCATTGCAGTCACCAGTAACAACAGTATGATTTCCGTTAATTTGGATACTATTGTTTTCGTGGACAATCAAGGTAGGCTGGGCAGCGAAAGCCATAACAGGCGCGTTTTTGTTATGGTCTGTTTTTTTCTTGCATTTTTCTCGGGATACATAGCCTGTATCATAACAATTTTTGACAATATCATCGACTGAATAGTTTGTTGAGAGCTCGGCTTCAGGAGTAGCTGTAATCTTAACCTTAGCCATGGTGTACTGCTGCTGGCCGTCGACATTCAGCTCCCAGCCCATGATATCAAGGTAGCGGTCCGGCTCAATGATGCCAATGAGGTTGGCGTTGAGTTTCAAAAATGTTTCAAGGGAGACTCCATTATCGTGGTCATCGCGAATGATGGAGTATGCCTTGGCTACGATGGCCCATTTAGCTTTGAATGGGTCATTCTGCCACAAGAACCGAAGGATGCCCGACTTCGCTTTCTGAGTAAGGTCCGGAAACATGACTGAATAATAACCTATTATTCGTTAGCCGATGTACATGCATGAGAGGGGAATGTATTGAATACTTCTGAAAGCAATGAAACTATTCAGTGGCCGCCGTTTCCCATCCTGAGGGCGCTTGCCTCGCGTCTGATTAGAACGTTGGTTTGTACTAGCCTGGACGGTCGACTCATTATTATTGTCCAGAGGGGTTTTTGATCTTGCGGTAGGGTGCTCAGTTTCGTGCGAGACCTTGTTGTTGGCCTTGGTCTGGGTGTCTTGAAGATACCTGAGGAGCTCTTCCAGTTGCTGGGGGGGCATTGTGAGGAGGAATGCGTTGAAAGCACGCTGAAGAGGAGATGTGGTGGCATCCATCTTGATCGTATATATTGAGCTTGTTCTCAATATCAGCTAATGTTTGGGTACTTCGAGGTCTCAGCTAGAGACATAAAAAAAGACCGATGATGAGGACATCGAAGGAGTCTAGGACCTCTGCTTTAGAGACATTTGGATAGGAGGGGGAAAGATGTAATATAACACAATGAGAAACCTAGTGTTAAACACATCAAACTAGCGTCATGTATACTGGTCCCAGGATAATAACAAAGATGTGATTTATCTCTGCGATGAGAGTATTATTTCACGGAAATTACCTGTATGATTCATTCACGAACAAAGTTTCACGGACATCAGGTGGCGCTTGTTGTCAATCTTCAAAGAGGTTCGAACTGACCAGTCGGATCATGCTAAAAGATAGGCCAGAGGATCCAGGCCCCACATAATCAAGTCCGTCCATCACAGTAATAGTACTATATCCTCTAAATAATATTCCACTGCCATATGCGGACTTTGGATGAGGTATATCACAGCAAGTGCTTGTGGAGCACCAACTGTAAATATAGCATATAATGCATGGTCTTCAAAAGCATTGTTGCTGTCGATAAGGAATGATTATCGCACCACTTTCTGGGCTATATCATAGAGTTGTCAGTGGCGGGCAGCAACAATCCGTTGCACCGAAAATAGGGGCAAATCCTCACTACTTGATTGAGAAAGTCATATGAGTAGAGAACTTAGAAGCCTATAAGTCGAGCCCCGGACTCTGACTCATGTTTTTATCAAAAAACACATAGAAGCGCATCATGTCTACGAATAACACTAAGCGAGCCATCGGAAATAATGTGTCGAATACGATCCCACATATATTCCATGCGAACGATGATGTACAATTCGCCGGATCTTCCAACTACCATAATTAAGCCCAACAGTCTTTGACTGACCCATATATACAGCCGGATTGCATCCGTATCAAGGAGCTGATGCGCATCTTTAGAGAACGGAATATACCAATTGCGTACCATGGCCACAGGAAATCTAGCAACTTAGTACCAAGTGCCATGCCTTTGCTATTGAGTGAATACTTCTCTCTAGGCGCAGAGACATTCATATCGTTGATTTGACAGGTTCAGATCGACATCGGCGAAGAAAAGAGAAGCACATACGAAACTGCAGTAAGCCGCTCCTGATAACCACCGAGTTTCCATGCCATATACCCTCATTTCGTTGGCTGAGAATAGCTCCTTCGACTTCACTTTTGCTGGTTCATTTCCTTTCCCCACTTATGAGTTTGAACTTTCAGATTAAGCATTTAAAATATAAGGAGTTCCCTGTGACTATAGTCTCACCTCCTGTGAGAAGTGCCCTTGCTATGCCATTATCATTTACTCTTTCCTTACGATTCTCCTTTTGTAATTAGACACCCTTGAACAGAAATGACAGGTGGAAGATCGTAACGCGATCTATAATTACATGGCATATATGCCAGATACCGATTTCTGTCCTTTTGATTTTTCCCCTTCTTAAAAACCGCTACCAGGAGTGCGCGCACACAAAATATCCAAGTTTTATCTCGCAATCGATCCACCGTCACATAACTTACACACGGCCATGAGCCCTAAGAACAAGATCCACCCCCTGTATTTTTGTTACCCACCAACTAAGACCCAGTCTGTGACACCATCTGGAGGTATTAGGAGCTGGGATGGAGCCGTAGTATCTATGGAAAGGCTGGTAAATTAACAGGCTGGAGAGACCTCAAAATAGGGGGCTGGTTGAGTGTTACTTCATTTAGGAATTTCTGGACCCACACATAAACGGTATTATGGGAGACTTGATGTAAACCTGCCTCTCGAGGGGACCAGAAATGTTTTGAGCAGCATTATTCACTGGCCAGACTGAAGACGAGAGGTATTCAGTTGCCATATTGATACGAAGCAGGCAAGAAGACAGGAATCCATCTAAGAATGTCTTTTACTGCAGTTGTGGGTAGACGAGGGGGTCCTATGTGTTGGCGAGGCTTGTGGCTACGAGGCACAAGATACTCAACCGAGACCTAATACCATTACTCATTAAGTAGCTATGGGTGCAACGCGAGTATGATATTAGCCAAGGAACCAACAGAGTGTGGGCTGTAAGCTGAAGTTCTGACTACGTAACTTGCTCGGCGTCTGTTATATCAGACGCGCGTTGTGTTGGTACAGACAGCAATGACTACCTTACGATGAATTACAAAACATAACCCGTGATTGTGTCTCTTTTGTTGCTGTGGCTACCTACGACACCGAAGAATTCCTATCACTTGCCCAAATAAATGTCGGACAGCGCCATTGTGTACCTTTCTCCTTGTTGCCACTGGGTCCAAGAGGCCGAGGACAAATCCAAAAGGATCGCCCACAGTTAACGCCAGGCTTTTTGGTTGTCAAACTAATGCATGGCTCCTGGTGACCTTCGCATAGGGGCGCGCGCTTTTTGGTGAATAGCTTCGACCAATCTTCCTTGCTCGCAATTGGGTCGACGAATGTGTCATCATCTGTCGGGGTGTCTGATGTCGTTGACACCGGTGGATTGGTCTCCTTCGTGGTGTCTGTGGTCACGGCCGCCGCAACTTGCTCCTTTTCTATTGCTTGTGACTCTGCCGAAGAAATCATCTTGGATGGGGATGCAGGTTGTGGCATGGCACCTGTTTCAAGGTCGGTGGTTGGTTGATCACGGCTCTGTATGGCTGGGGAACTCTTCGGCTTGAAGAATCCCTTAAGCGTTCTCTGTCCAGCAACCGCCGGCGTGGGTGCTAAGCCAGCTACTGATTTGGAACGTTTAACAGGGGAGTCGCCCTTCTCGGACCGTTTACGGACAATTCCCTTTGGCTGGGGATCGTTCTTGGGAATGGCGTGGTTGGCGACTGATTCCGTTGAGAGCTTTCCGATGACAGCTTTCGATTCTCTATGATCCGAATTCGCACGGGAAAGCGTGGGGGTACTAGTTGGGGAGCTCTGGGGGGCGTTATTGGGTCTGCGCGTGAACATGTCTTTGATGCTCCTTCGTTTGTCAAATTCCGGTATCAAGCGACCCGAAGTCGGTAGTAAACACTTCGCCGTATACTCTTGTCGACGCTCGCCATTTTCGAACATTCCAGGAGGGTTCATGATGTCCCGGATGTTAACTTGCTTCCCCCCAAGATGTACGGTTTCTTTGAACGTCGCATACACAGGACAATGGTCAGAGCCCTGCGCAGTCATGTTAGCAAGCTCTCTTCTGGGTCAGGGAGGACTAGACTACCATAAGTCCTTCTTGTATGTTTGAATCGCAGAACCAGTCTTGCATATCCAAGCTACACAAGACATAGTCAATTCTTGAGCCATAATTTCCCGGGCGAGCATTGATTCGCTGCTCCCAGCAGGTGTACATTCCCTTGCGGTCCGGATGAAAAGAGCGACAGATGTCATGCAGAACAGGCTGTTCTCTTCCTTCTTCCCGTTCCCCAATCACCTTCCCATCGGATAGCAACTGATTGAACACACGCCGTGCATGAGTGGATACGAACTCATCTTCTGTCAATGTCCCTTTTCGAATAGCCTCCCCCGCATGAGCTGCATCGATCTCTCCTCGCGAGATATTCAAGTCCCCCGTCACAAACACCCTCTTTCCCATAGCTACTAAGTTACGGATCCGCGCGTCCATCAGGTCGATAAAATTGCGGCGGAAAGAGTCGCGGCTCTCATCCCTATTGGCCGGTGAATAGATGCCCAGCAGGACAAAGGCGGGAAACTCGAGAATGACGCAACGTCCCTCGGAGTCTAGCGTGGCTGCATCAACATCAAATTGCGACAATTGCTCGATGGTTGGATAGCCACCGATCTGCTGATTCTCTGGAAGTTCCCGAAAGGGCACCGACGAGTTCGGGGGGCATAGCATCCCCGAAAGACCTTCCTCAGCGCGAATGGGGGCACATGTAGAATTGCGTGTGTAGATTACGACACCAGAGTAACCTATGGTGGTTGGTTAGACAAGCATTCACTCATAAACATATCGCACATACCTTTCTTGACTCTAGGCAGACTAAAATAACAATCCCAACCAGGCACTAGGACCATGTCATCGCGCAAGTCTTTGCGCTGGATTTTTGTTTCCTGGAAGACGACAATATCGGCCTCCAGGATGTCAAACATGGCCTTTCTAGAGTCAGTCTTCTGTTTGTAAAAGGAATGATGGAAAGCACACATCAAACGTCCGCTTGCCTCTCCATGGCTCGTAAGAGAACGGATTTCTGCATTAGTAGATCAACAATGCTATTCCAGCCTGCACCAGACAGCATCACATACCGAATCCCGTTGACTGGGCACTGTTAGTATCCTTATGGTAGGGGTTAGGGCCCGAAAATCATACCGTTCCATGTTGTAATTCGAAACCCCATTCCGGCACTATGGATGCCAATCACACATGTCCGCTCAGGAGTTACGAGAGTACTATCCCATTCAACGAATATTGATAGATAAAAGCCCACCACTCATATAAAGCTACCAACTTGATAATTGACACCGACACCGACGATTCACATCAACAGAGGTGTAGTAGTAGCTACAAAGCAGTGATCTACCTCGCCAATGCAAGCAGGAAAAGAAGGGAGGCGACGAGGCAACGCTGAACCGAAGGCAGCAATAATATGTGCCTCAGGCAGGCTACATCCAGAGAGACATAGACTGCCAGAGGCGCATATAGTCACGGGACAAAAGTTAACGAGTTGGTGCATACGACACGTGACCATGACTAGCCACTCCGTCCCCGTGACCGTGACATCACGCGATCTGAGCCAGTTGCTGACATAAGCCTGATGGGGAGCCAGCGAATCACGGGGACGCTAAACGGCTTTTGTTTCGTTAAGCCGGAAGGGCCGACGTCCGGGATAATCCCACCGTCAAAGACGTCGTCCCATCTCTCCAACGTCACTCCTCCACTCCATCCACCTCCAGCCATGTTCCCTCAGCGTAACGCCCTGCGTCTGTCCCAGCGCGCTGCCCAGCAGCTGCGTGCTGCTCCGGTCCGCTCCACCGTCCAGCGCCGTCTCAACAGCTCCGACTCCAAGCTTCCCTCTTGGGCCGCCGACAACGAATTCAACCGGGAGAGAGAGGCCGTCAAGCACCATGCTGCTGCTACCAGTGGTGCGTATCTAGATCAATTGATGCCGTGGTTTTTCAAGGGTGTGGTTGTGCTAACTCAATGGCTGGTCTTCCTACTTCAGACCTGTGGCGCAAGCTCTCCATCTAGTATGTGGAACTAGCTATTACTACCTCAATTGACTTTCTAGTAACATTTTACTTCCTCGCAGCGCCGTCATTCCTATCCTGATTGCTGGAGGAATCAACTCTTACAACCTCTGGAACGAGCACTGGGAGCACTGGGCGCACATGCCCCCGCTCGAGGAGCGTACTGAGTACCCCTACCAGAACATCCGTGTGAAGAACTTCCCCTGGGGAGACGGTGACAAGGTGCGTACCAGAACTTGTATACTTTTCACAATGTTAATTTGATTGCTGACGATGTTATCTTTTATTTTTCCAGACCATCTTGTAAGTTCCTTACGCCCGAACCGTCCAGCGTCGCGTACAACTCGTTATTTATAACTATGCCTTCTAACAAACTCACAGCTGGAACTCCGAGGTCAACTACCACAACAAGGACAAGGCTACCTAAGTGCCCGCTGTCGATTATGGGAGTACAGCGTCTTTTTTGATTGATTCTGACTGTTGACGGGAGGGCAAATCGAAAGACATGTATATTTACTGACAAAATATGCGGAAGTGAGAATAACGAGGCCAAGGCTCTCGTGGGTGGATTTGAGATAGCGCACCATACAATACTGCTAAGCCATTTTTCTTTTGTTGTGCTGCCTCGTTGTTTTCTAATGACCAGTAACGGTCGTATTGGCTTTCTTGGGTATTTCTTCTACCCGTATTACAGGAGTAAACTGGCGCAGAGGCCGACGCCAAAGAATTTGTTGGTAGATTTGTTGTTTCCCCTGTCACCTTGCAATTATTTAAAACATACAATTGACATCAGTTCGTGTTTCAAAGTCAAGCCTCCCCAAAGTCTATCCTTGCTTGTCTCTTCAAGTCCAAGTACTTGGCCGCATAGTCATTTGCGAGGACCGGATCGCCCGTTAAATGCATAACAGTGGCTTTCTTGGCCACCATTTCACATTGGCCCTTGATATCTTCAATCTCCTCATATTGCTCATATGCACAGTCGAGGTACCCCAAAGCACGAGTGACATGTTCCTTCCGCAGAACGGAGTTAGTCTGTCCCTCACTCCAGAGAGACCCCGCGATCCCCATATTCGCGTCCACAAGAAGCGAGTAGGCCTGTGCAGCCAAGCTACAGTCACCCGTTTCGAGAATTTGCGGCATGATGCTCTCAATCAGCTCAGACACGGCATCGAACTCGCGCATGCTCAGAAGGACGCCTGCCAGCACGCATATGGATTCCCAGAGGCTGGGGAGGAGACGCGAGCGGTGTGCGATACTGGCGGCTCTCATGGCAAGGGAGAAGCCGCGTTGTGGATGGCCTGTCTTCTGGAGAATGGAAGCCTTGAGACAGAGGAGCTTGACTTGCGTGAAAATGTCAAAGTTGTCTTGCTGGATAGCCTGCGCGGCTTTTTCAACCAGTTCGAGCGCGCCGCCGTAGTGGCCTTGTCGAATACGGAGGTCGATCGTGAGGATGGAAAGAAGAAGAGTAATATCGTTGTCAGGGAGTTGGATGGCTTGCAGTTGAGCGAGGAGGTGTTCGGCTGCAACTCGGTTGTCGCTAGATGCTGTGAGTCGGTTGTCATGCAATTGAGTGCCGGGAACCTACCGGTATATCTGCTGTTGCAGCTGGAGGATACCAGAGAAGAATGTCCAATATTGGTATGTTTTGAGCGATCGAAGCTTGTCTGGGGAGATTTGGTTCATTCGGGCTGATACCTCTGTGTAGCGGCCCTGCTGTGCTAGCTTTGGAGGGTCAGTGATGTTGTTCGCTGGAATGGACGTTTGACATACTAGTTGACAGCTACGAAACGTGCTTTTGAGATGGTCTTCAAAGGGTGCTTTGTTTGCGTAGCATTCGCGAAAGGTCTCGCTGCTCAGCCATGCTAGATGTGTGATGCCTGCCAAATGGGTCTTAGTGGGAGTTCATACAATGGCATGATAACGGATGCGTACCAATTCTAGAATAAAGTGCGGCCTGTAGCAGAAGCTGCGGGCCTACCGAGTTCGCCAGGTTCTTTGTAACGTTGAGGTGTGAGGCTCGAATTATGTTCTCAATAGACGAGGCCAGACTTTCTCCCTGGAAGATGTTAGGTTTGGTGATACATAACATTGGTCAACATGGGGAGACTTACATTACGCATCTCCAGCTTCGCTTCGCTCAATAGCGTCGTACTCAGAAGACTCCACATCTCTGTCTCTTTTGCCTTGGCCTTGAGAAATGCAAGGCCTTCTTTCTCGTTGCCCAACATTCCTGTATTTTGAACATCTCTCATGTGCTCTGGAAAAGCCTTCCCGAAGTGATACAACCAACTCATACAGAAATTCAAGCAGTTCATATCGTGGGATTCTCGAGCAATGGAAACAGCCTCCTGCATGGCAGAGACGGCCTCGCCATAGCATCCGAAATCAGCCTGCAAGATGGCAAGATTAAGCAACGCGTATTGATAGGAGCTTCGATCGCGACTGTGCATAGTGCAGTCGAAGTAACGGTGCAGGTTGTCAAATGATGACGGATAATCTCCTGCCCTCCAGGCATCAAGGAACCTAGAGAGTCAGCCAGCATCCCGAGGTGTCACAGATCAATTAGCCAACGGCATACCTCAGATAGTGCACTAGATTAGGAACGGTCACACCGGACGTGATGATGCGTTCCAATTGGGCTTTCATGCCATCCGGCACTCTTCCCCCCAGACCTGAACAATAGTCAGTATTTAATATGCGGGAATGTAGAGGGGGGTCATTACTCTGTAGCTCGCTTATTTGGAATTCTAGGAGCCGCTCGACATCCTTTGTGCTGACGTATTGCTCATCCTCCGAATCATCCTCGATACTTCCGTAGGCGACCTGCGCAAGGGAATCCGTTGTATCCAGGCCAAGGTTTAGCAGATTGATATCCACGGGTGCCTGCTCGAGAGACGGGTTTTTCCGCGCCCATACATGGTACGTTGGCAGTCGATACTTGACAAATCCCCTCCAGAGCTTGACGGAGTCATGGAATTGCAGTCTGGTGAATTCTAGCTGGGAACGTCTGACAAACACACCCAAGGGAGAGCACCGAGACAAGCGCATACAGCCCGTGTCCGGTGCAAGGCCCGCATCTCGATCGCGGATTTGTTCTTCTCGAGTCTTGGCTAGAATAGCCGAGATATCAGCGAAGAAGACTTCCAACGCATCGCAGCAATCGAGGGACCAGATCTTTTTCAGAAAAAGGTCCCAGATTGTACGGCCAGGGACGGAGGACGGGTGGCCCGTTAGTTTATCCTTCAGATCAGTGATGGAGACGGAGCATTGCGTTGCCTGATCTCCCGATGAGGAAATGGATTGTTCTCTTTCCAAGGGGCTGAGACAGGTTACCAGATACGAGAGGATATGAATGGCGGAGGAGTTGGGAACAACACCTTCAGTATAGATGGAGATGAGACAAAGGAGGGCAACCTTGGAAGGGGTGAGATAGCGACTCATGGTGGTTAGAGGTTGTTATACATAGCCTGGCCCCACCAGGAGGAGGCTATGATAGTTGCAGCCACCACGCGGACTGCAGTTCGTTCACAAAGTCCAAGCAGCCAGGTGGAGCCCAGTTGGTACTAGATTGTGTTGGGGGTGTACGACACGAGTGACTCAGGAGCAATGGGCAGAGTGGGTGGTACTGGCTGTTTTGATTCTTTGGGATGTAGTTGGCCAGACCAATCCTCGCGCAGACGGCAGGCATAAACAGAACCGTGGAGGAAAAGCGTGAAAGGAAGAGAAAAAGGATTGTGGAACGCAGCATATAAACAAGGGAAACAATGTAATTAGTACATACGACCACAGGGTGTGGAAAACAGGGCTTCCCGTCCGCTCAGCCGTACTTAAGCCACACGCCGGGAGGTTAGTAGTTGGGTGGGTGACCACCAGCGAATCCCTTCTGTTGTATGTTTTTTTTTTTTTTTTTCATCTCCTTCATCTACTTTCTTTTTTATTTTACTCGATATTGTAAATAACGAGGCTACTACTACCATTTGTCTACATCGCTTTCATGCATAGGGGCTCTGTCAGTGTTGAAACCAGTCTCAATAAACACACGCAGCTTGCCTCTTGGTTACGGGCCGCTCTCATTGTGGTCGAGTATTGCTCATCGTTACATCTTGCTACATCTTGCTTGGACCATTAGCATGAAGGCACGAATTTTCAATGCTTCTCAACCTACGATCCTCAAGTGGAAAGGCAACAAGAAGCACAGCATCATGTAGTGTGTCGTGAGCAAACTTCTCCAACTCGGGTATCCCCTCCTTACCGGCACTCTTGGTAAAAAGACATATCTTGTGGTGGTTGATATTGAGGCCAATGACTGTTTCCATGGGGGCATGAGTTGAGCAAGCTTCACGGTCAACCAACTGTGACTAAGTCGGCTTCTGCAGCTCCATAAGAACTTGTAACAGACTTGCTGGTATTTCCGGCATAGCGGTATCGATCCACTCTTCGATTGTCAATTCATAGATTGATAATAGCGGAGATCGGAGGGAGATCCCCTCGAATCTATCGGCGAGGTCGGGCAGAATAGCGCCTTCTTGCTCAACACTGGATTTGGAGAGCTTCATTTTTCTGCCTATTGTTGCTTCCCAGATATCGCGGAAACGCATCAAGCTTGTAACCTTATCGCCATAACGGTGTGGAGTGCTAAAGAAGATAACGCCAGCTATAGCATTGACAATCGACCCGTACCGAGTAATCTGCTTAATAGCCACACACAAAGCCTGCTTGACTATGAGGCCGCCTAAGCTGTGACAGACCAGTAATAGTGGCTTGTTTGTGGTCTGTGGAAAGTACCTAGCACATTTCTATACCGCCAAGACAACAAAACCACGACTTACTTGACCTACCAAATCTAGGTCTGAGCCTGATCTGAAATCGCTTAAATCCTGGAGAAGGTCATGACCTAGCATCAAAATCGACTCCCACGAGGGCTTTCTGCTTGCAACCGGCGAAGAATTACATACGGGAGAACGCGTGCCCCAGCACCGGAGCCTGGTAGGGATGCGAGCCAATTGGGTTGGGAAACGGCCAATTCTTAGGCGGGATGGTCCCAATCCCTGAAATGAGAATAATGCTAGGTCTAAAAGTATGTGGATTCCCTGAACTGAGCCTAATGTGCTTCTTCTTACTCCACACTATCATGTGAAGTACCAGCCGGGTCCAGCAGCACCTGCAGGTGGCCAGCAGTTGTAATATTGGTGTCTGTTTTCATGGGTGAGAATCACCGAAAGGTTAGCTGTCCAGAAAAATTAGAAAGCCCGGCTTGGGCAGTTTCCTTGGGAGGGTAATGGCTGCTTGTCTTCCATCTAAGTTCCGCCCATATGTTCAGGTGCGGGGGTGGGCGCTTAGTACTAATCACATCACAGGCAGGTGTGCAAATGATTGGAGTACCTCCTTAGGTACGCATAAATACTACTTAATAGCAGCCGTGCACGCCGTGTCCACTTCATTGGTGGATACTAGGCACTCCGTCAATATACTAAATCTCAGAAGCTCTTTCTCCACCTAAAGGGAATTCTTACACAACTCTAACAGCTACCCAGGGACAAAAGCCCAATGATTCTATTGAAAGCGGCAATTTGGCAGAGCGGCATAGCCCGTACTACTAGTAGCCTTACGACTCATCTCCTCAGCTGGCGAATCACAGATCAAGTCACATCCCCATAGTATTATGTGCCATTATTAGCACACCTGTGCTGTAGGGCTTCATGATCTGTCGAGTACCTCATAGTCCAGAGAAGCGGAGATCATATGATTGATACTTATCTATCTATCTATCAATACAGTGTCGACTGTAGAATTTGCTGTAGTACTTGGGCAGTAATTTTGACATAATGTGTCTTACTAAATTGACAGACTTTACAATAGTTAAGAAGAAGAGCTATTATGTACCCTGTCGGATGATTCCAGTCGGCACGGGATAATGAAATTATTGGACTACCACTGGTTGTAGACTTGGTAGATTATATTTATGAGTCAATGAAAACACTTGAAGTGATAGAAGATGATAGTTACTCGTAAATACAGGCATATATATGTAAAAGGGCCACAAATGCTGCGATCAAGAAATTTACCTAAGACATTGGTTTTGTGGAGACTCGAAGGCAAGTGAGAATGAAAATATACATGGGTATATAGCTTTATGAATCGACAGGTTGAGCAGACATTTCTGGGAAATCCTTGGGGTATATTAGGTTTAGAACCAGAACTTCCGGCTTTCAACAATAGAAGTCATTCTCTCGGTCCTTGCTGTCTTGAAGCAAAATGATTGAAAGGGCGACCCATTACGAAGAACCGTCATGACAAAGCAACGCCACATATATTCTGTCCATAGTTAGTTCTTCCACAAACTGACAAACTGGAGCGTAAATGTAAACATAACCTACCTGTCGTCTGGACCTGAATTCTTCGTACATCCCCAGCCAAAGCTGTCGGACGTGGCAATCATCTTGTTGACCGGTGACAAGTTGTACGTCGCAAGATGGCTGCGTCTCTTCGAGCACGTGCTGAGTGGCTGTGATCCATGGCTACCGCAAAATCCGATTAGCTTAGCTGAGTTCGAGTCTGTTGGATGCCAATGGTATGAATCAAATACCTTGGGAACAGGCCAGTCCGAGAAATGGAGGTACTTGGCAGCTTCTAGGACCCTATCGGCATCCCACGTTTCGTCTGCATTGCCTAGATAGGCTTCATGATCCTTGGAGCGAAATTCCCCCGTCAGAAGCATATAAGGACGATGCGGGATAATAAGCGCCGTATCGCCATACAACCTGTTCACAATGTCCATGTCATATCCGCCAGAAACACCATCCCATATCTCATTCGTCAGACGGCTGAACTCTGCTGTGGACGGTTGAATGAGCATTAGAGCGGAAGTAAAAACTTTGTCTTCTTGGTGGAACCAGTATGCCAGTGGCATAGCGACTGGAGCCGATGGGAGCAGAAATAGCTCGTCCATTGTCTTCATATATCATGTTAGTTGTTACAATAGAAACCACGCTTTGCAGACGAACCTGTAGGAGTGTCGCGTCAGAGTCTAAGTGAATGACTCTGTCGTATTCTGTTTGATTGAAAGTGAGAAGCTTCGTGTAGCTCCTTGACCACGTTTCTGCGCCCACTTTTAGTTCGACGTATTGCAGCAGTGACATCAAGCGACTTACCACCTCCCCCGCCCTTGTATATCACCTCCATTGGCTTGAGTTTAACCGCATATTTATCTCTTGCAAAACGTAGTAAACGAGCTTCTGGTGAATCATCTTCCTCAGACACGAGAAAATTAGATGGGTACATCAACACGAGATCAGCTTTGCTTCCAAGCCGATGGAGGGCCTCGAATATCATGACTGAGTTACACAAGTACGATCTGTCCGTTGCGTATTGTGTGTATGCAAATCGGGACCAATTTATTTGCTTCTCGGGCAGATGATCAAGTTGACTTTCTTGCAGAGAAATTGAGGCGCTTAGATGTCGCAATGATATCGCGAGCATGGCTAGCATTAGCACCGCTATCAATAGGGCGCGAACAAATCTGGGATATTTTGAGGTCATTTTCATGGATGTCGTCGAGAAAATCGAAAAGCTTGTGATCTGATGGCTGTAATCTGTAGATTTGCGCCAACTCGCTGCAGCTATGGGGATAGAAGTATGTATAGCAAAAAGTCCAGTTGTCTAAAAGAGGACCCCCTTCACACCGGACATGATCCCACCCTCAGCTGTTCATACTAGCAGCTTTAGGGCAGCGCGAAGTGTAAGACATTGCAGGGGTAGCCATGAAGTCCGAAATGGGCGGCTAAACGTCGGCCAGCCATTTCTGACCCACGCTATAATAGCTAATAACCAGAGCGACTAGTATGTTTGCTATAATCTCTTGAATGGCTGAAAGTAGTCCTGCTTTTAGTCTAGTGGTTAGCACTTCGACACTAGATTCGGCGGGTAATTTTGTCGTTGCCATCCCGAGGACCAGTATATCTCACCATACATAATTCTTTCTGTTGGTAAAGCTGCAGACCTAATTTGATCTTTCTCCTGCGATCACTTTCGTCGATCTGCATCGTTTAAATAATAAACATCATCATATGGTATGGGAAGGTTGTTAAAGCCATTCTTAATCATTCGGCTCTTAGTCAAAGAAAAGGTGGAGAACGGGTTCAAACGTCCAGTCTCCTTCATTTCCGGGATGGTTCTGTAGCACTCCCAACCAGGGCGCTTAGCGTAACTCCGCAAGAATACCATTGGCGCTCGACAGGCATCATTTGCTTTCGAGATGATTTGAGTCAAACACATCTCACACATCCCATTGTGACTGATCCTACCTCACGTACATATTTCAGGGTTTGAAGCGCTGTACAGATCAATCGACCTATAATATGCTGTCGATCTTCGTTTAATACAGTGACACTCCCGGCCTTCGAATATCGCGAAGCCATTGCTGCGAAAAATGGCGGACTCTGGAGTGAGATCATTGGCCGTAGCCATAAGTAATCGTTCAGTGCCCCAAATGTCGTCTTCCAAGATGTCATTGTGAAACAGACACGCTTTGTGCGTCAGTTGGCATCCAGGTATGCAGTCAGTTTCGTTCAACAATCAGAATGTGTCAGTAGCCCGGAGACAAAAGTATCAGAGTCGTCTGGTCTATCTTGGCCAATGTGACTTGAAGCCTGGTACTACCCTCTTGGGAAAGCCCGACCAGCTTGCTGCATAGCTGATAGGACCAGGTACCGTCTTTCATTTGTAAAGACAGGCACATCACGGTCTCGATTCCTAACAAGATACTTTTCTGATCCTGATTGTTGCAGAACAAAGTTCTAGCGTCGTTCCATGATTGCCCAGACTTGGGAATGGGAACGCTTGTTTAACACCAAGATTGGTCCACCACCGCATAATTCACGATTGGAGACGCTGGTTCTTAGTGCACGACGGTAGTTATCCGGCTGTCCATACAGAATTGGCAAATAGGTCAGCAGTTTGGTTCAGTTTTTATGGGTGGAAACTGCTAAACTGTGGTTGACAGGGGCGACGCCCTAGGCCTCGAGAGAACAAACCTCTGGTCGCCATAATGGGAAGTTTGGTCAGGCAGCTCAATGAAAGAAAGTAGAAGTAATGACATATGTCGCAAACATGTCAGCTTCTAGGGCGACAAGAAACAACAGGAACTGTTATTGCCTTTTAGTACCTGAGTGGGACGGTTCACAGTATTTACATCCTGCTGTACACCGCAGGGGTGGCGCCTGGCCTTAGAAAGCATCTTACGTTGCTGTTTCGTCCAAGCGCTTGTCCTATATCTGAGAGCAGAGATTTAAGGCTTGAATGGTGCGGATTTCCGCAGGATTAATCCTAGCACAGTTCTTTGAGGCTGCGTTTCCATCTCATGGTCCTGGTTTGTCCACGTCAGGGCCGCTCGTGCTGCTGGGGCTGCACAGTCAGTGCTGGGAAGCTTCTCCATTTCACATTATACGGTGTACAGAGTGTGGACATCCAATTATATCAATTGCCTACGGCGCTTACAAAGGATTAGAGTTTTGGAGTGTCGTGGTCTGTGCCCTGCTTATCTTCTTTTCTGCGCTAACTTTGGGTGGCTCGGCGCATCTTAACCCCTGCAATGTTCTCTGTGAAACGCGCTGACTCTACATAATTCTCTTTCCCAGATACTACCACGAATTCTGTCTTTATAACTTCGAAGGAAATGTAAAGCGGAGAAAAAGGAAAAGACACGTACACTTCAATATGTTGGATAAAAGAAGCTTACCAATCTTGGTCGACTTCTATTATTGCGCCTTGGACATGATATACATGCGCAGTGAAATATACCTCAAGCCGCAATCAATGGCCTGTGGCGATAAGAAGTTCAAGGCACGAGTGCAATCGGAGATCCACAATTAACAAAGTCTTATTTGATGGTAGAAGAAGTACCAACAAAAGTGTAATCTTCCACGCCTCTGTCCTTGAACACACCTCTTACAGTGAATAATTACCACAGATATCATATATCTGACAACTCATTTGTGCTCATCAGACTGTAAAGGAGTTGTGGAAACAATCAAAACTGATGTACCTCCCCACAGTAGATAGTCTCAGAACTGTAGTATAGCATTGAAATATGATACTGGGGATAAATCAAAGTAAACGACTAGGGATTTAAATCAGCTGATCAGCTGCACGTTGCCCTGATCTCAACGATTGCATAGCCGACATAAGTTGCTCTCCCTTGCGTCGAGACTCTATGCCTCATGATCATGACGCAGCAAGAAGCGTCTTACGAGCGATCGATATAGCAAGATGGAACTTCCCATCGCTGAAATAAATAAAAGCAAGTCAGTCGGGATCATCAGCTGCCGGCCATGTGACCGGGAGAGATGAAATTCACTGGTACTTTTCCCGGTCATTGTTTTCCCCTCAGCTTCCCGTAAACAAACGCCCTGCAACGGTTTCTCCTCCCAGAAATAGACAGCAATACAAGCGCAAGCGCAAGCACAAGGTCAAGCTCAGCATCTACATAGCTTTATCGAAGCATCATTACCCAAATCAAACCCCTTGACTATCAGCGGAGGCACCGACAACAAATGGCCTCCGCACTAAAGGCGGGGCACTTCCAGACTCACGAGTCCCCCGCATCCGGCACCATCATCATCCGCGACTCTCTCTATGGCGACCATTCCATTACCGAGCCCATCTTGGTCGACCTGCTTCAATCTTCCGATCTCCGTCGACTGATTGGAATCTGTCAACATGGTGTAACTGGACACCTCGGCCTCCTACCCAAGCAAGTCAAGATCACGCGCTTCGAGCATTCCGTCGGGGCATTCCTGCTCGTCCGCATCGCCGAGGGGAGCGTTGAAGAACAGGTAACCGCTCTTTTGCACGACATTAGCCACACCGTGCTCAGCCATGTGGTCGACTGGGCGCTTTCAAAACCGGGCGAGGAGAGTTACCACGAAGTTCATAAAGCACGGTATATTCGTGCGACGCAGATTCCCAAGATCCTGACCAAACATGGTGTTCCGCAGACTGTCTTGGATGAAGAGCAGTACCCGCTTGTCGAGATGGCGGCACCACATCTCTGCGCAGACCGACTGGATTACGCCCTGCGGGATATGGTTGCGTTTGGGATACTCCAGCTGAGTGATGCGCACCGGGTCGTCGCAAGCTTGAAAGCGTTCCCTGATGCAGTTTCTCTGAATCGGATGCTTGTGCTCGGGGATCAGAAGGCGGCACTAGACCTTGCGAGGGCGTATCTAGTTGCGGATCGGGAGGTGTGGTCTAACCCGACACATGTTGAGATGTACAGAGGGACTGGGCAGTTGATTGGGAATCTTGTTCACGAAGAACGGATTCACGAGAAGGTGCTGTGGAGCACGACGGATGATCAGTTCTGGCAGTTATTGAAGGATATCGCGGATCCGGAAGAATCGGAAATGCTAGAAAGGTTTGAGACTGAAGGACTGGTGGAGGAGGATGGCTTGCGCCTACATAAAAATGCCAAGGTTCGTACTATTGACCCCGATGTGTATGTGTCTGGCGCAGAAGCAGTTGCGCTGTCGGTGGTGGATCCGGACTGGGCTGCTGAGCGCGAGAGCTATATCCGGGGACGAGAGGCTACACGAGAGGTGTAATTGTAACATTACAGCTGGTTTAATGAGGATAAGTAGATGAGAACGAATTTGCTATGAACAAGATAATCATTCTCGATACATCTACTTCCCATGACTCTATTTACAACTGCAACTATATCATAAGTATCCCTGCCTCAGGCACATAACCCCGCTGGCTCTTATCAACCCACCAATTGCGGGCGTCCAAAGTATGACTCCCCCACGAACCCCTCCATTGCGTCCCCAAACTAACCTCCAAACTACTAACTTTCTCTAGCCTTCATTCCTTTCAAACTTCTTCTGTATCCACGCCCCTCTCGTACACCCATTGTCTCCAATCCACCCCAAACAATGGCCACCGCATACACCCAAACCGACCTCCAGGGCGCCCTGCCCCTCATCGCGCGCGGCAAAGTGCGCGACCTGTACGAGATCGACGACAAAACCCTCCTCTTCATCGCGACCGACCGCATCTCCGCCTACGATGTGATTATGGAAAATGTACCCTACCCTATACCAGCTATATATACCCATTCCATTACTGCTCAATGCACATGAACCAATACTAATCATGATTCAAACAGGGCATCCCCAACAAAGGCATCCTCCTCACCCTCTGCACCCGCAAATGGTTCGAAGTGCTCACCACCGCCCTCCCCACCCTCCGCACGCACTTCCTGACCCTCGACCTGCCCCCGCAAATCCCCGAGTCGCTGCGCCCGGTCCTCCAGAACCGCAGCATGCAGGTCCGCAAGCTCCGCATCCTGCCCATTGAGGCTATCGTGCGCGGTTACATCACCGGCTCCGCGTGGAAGGAGTACCAGACTCACGGCACGGTGCATGGTCTTCCTGTCAAGGCCGGGTTGAGGGAGAGTGAGGCGTTCCCCGATGGACCTATCTATACTCCGAGTACGAAGGCCGAGCTGGGCGAGCATGATGAGAATATTCATCCGGATAAGGGTATACCCACCCCACTTTCTTTACTATTGTTTGGTGGGAGAGATGAAGGCTAATTGTTGGTATAGCTGTTGAGATCATCGGAGAGAAATACGCCACTATTGTCGCTTCTTTGTCCGTTCAGCTGTACAAGATCGCCCACGAGTATGCGCTTTCCCGCGGTGTCATCATCGCTGACACCAAGTTCGAGTTCGGCGTTGATGAGGAGACTGGTGAGGTGGTGCTTGCTGACGAGGTGTTGACGCCGGATTCGTCGCGGTTCTGGCCTAAGGATACCTATGAGATTGGACGGGGACAGGCCAGTTTCGATAAGCAGTTCCTCCGCGATTGGTTGGTCAAGGAGGGGTTGAAGGGCAAGGAGGGTGTCCGGATGAGCGATGAGATCGCGGAGAAGACTAGTGAGAAGTACAAGGAGGCGTGGGAGAAGATTACCGGTGGTAACTAAATTAATTATCAGTCCTGTTATGGAATTTGTATGAGTTTTAACAAAATGTCACGAAAAGGGAAAAGGTAGATTAGTTAGGCACTAGAAAGGTCATATTACTGTTTTGTACAATCTAGATATGGTATCAAGTTCGTTGCTTTCCTGCATCCGCACCTACGCCTCCCACTCATCTTTCAACCCCTTCAATCCCTTCGCCTTAGGCTCTCCTCCCTCCTTCACACTCTCCCTCTGACCCTGAACCTCCTTCTGACCCTTCCCCCCAACCTCACCCATCCACCCCGTCATCACCCCCTCATCAACCGGCAACGCATCGGCCCCACAAATCCTCCTCTCCTCCTCAATCTCCGCCTCACTCATGCCATTCGTCGCCCAAACCTTCTGAATCCTCAAATCATACGGACCCTCCACCCGATCCGTCAACCCAATACCCACACTCTTGATCCGCTGCCGAATAATCGACGTCTGCGGCTCAACCACCATACCATGATTCGTGCGCACAAACGAGTTAAACGGCAACAGGATCGTCTCCCATCCCGTCCCACCAGAGGTCGTAGCACTCGAACTACCACTCCCCATGACAATACTCTCCGGCGGAACATCAGACAAAGCAGCGGGAATGCTACCATTAGGGTACAACCGATCCGCTAGATCAGAGGAGTCCGCGTCGGAGGTAGAGAAGGAAGGCTGCACGCGATGATGCCGCGTGTAGAGACGGTGTTGGTGGATATCGGTCTCGACGATGGAATCGGTCTGGATGTTGACAGTGTACCGACGGCCGTCGGATTTTACTCTCAGTGCGAGGTAGGTGTACGGATCGACGTCCCAGAAGAGTCGGCCGAAGAGCCAGAAGCCGCGGTCGTGGTTGCGGAAGGCGGCGTAGCCTATACATTTCATACCATAAGTCAGCAAAAAGTTACTTTAGTATGGGGGGATAGGTGGTGGGGGATGTATATACCTGTCCGCTCAACCCGCCAGTTCTTGGGAAGCTTGGTCGAGATACTTCCATGGAAACGCGCATGTGCTGGACTGTTCGTGGCTGGGTCCGCAGGGACGTAGTCTAGACTGGCGGTGCTGTACCCTCCGACGACGCGGTCGGCCATGGTCTTGCAGCTGGCGACGGACGACTCATCTTCGAAGTCGAGGAGGACGTAGGGCTTGGTTGGGGTGTGGAGAGCTTCGTTGTTCCAGGCTGGATGTTTGTTTTTTTTATCAATCAGTTTATCGGTCTCGATCTGTTAGGTTTGGCTAGTGGAGATGGGGAGAAGCGCACCGATTCGGGAGAGACGGCCGAATTCCTCAACGCTGCGTTTGAGGAAGCCGGATGGCTTTGCAGCTAGGCATCGGGCCGTGGGAAACATGTTGGCTTGGGTAGATAGAAATCAAGCCAATTGGGGGGATGTTGGTGCAGGTGTAAAGTGCCGCGGCGATGCGTCGAGGAGATTCTCGGACCTGCGCATGACGTCGGAATTTCGCTGGCCGTGCGGGCCTGAGGCAGAAGCTGTCCGGTTTGGTCGTCCGGTCTCGGTGGTTGGAGGGTCACCGCCTAGGGAGATATAAATGTGTCTTCGGTCGTTTATGGTAGCCTGGTGTACAAGAAGTTATGAGTTGACGATGCAAATATGAAGGTAAGTATATAAGTGGTGCTTAGTGTGTTCGGTTGTTTTGTCGTATATCGCTAACTTTTGTTCATTTAGGGGACTCCTTTGAGAGCAGCTAAAATTGCTAGGGCATGGCTTGCCAGTATGACCACTCTAATAGGCCCTAGTCTATGAAATAGTCACTGAATATAGCGGATATCTTTGACGCGGTATTCTTGAGCAACAGGATTGCTGCTGGCCTACACAGTACAAGTACTAGTAGTACTGTGCAGGCCAACAGCAACCTATCCTTCCCATCAGCATAGATTCGCCAGTTGTCTGATTCTGCTGGCAGAATCTAATGCGGTGAGAATATCAGCTGTCATGATATGCGTGTATCCCACCAATCATATTGCGAGCGCATACATCGGTTGTTGGCCAATGATATCAAAGTGCACCCTGAGTCAGACGACGAGAGAAATGCAATAATGAGATTTATTGGAGTTGAACTAAACAGCAAATGTGTCTCTAGGAGTTGTACAAGCTATCAGAGAGATATGTATATCATGGCTTTATTGTGGGCCTGTTTTCAAGCAGAAACCACCCCCGAGTGAACAGCCTGCTGCTCTCTTGATATGCTGGCATCTTCTGGTGTGTGGCAATCATCACGAAAGATTCCATTTTGCTATATTTGACAGGCTACAAACATGTCCACGATCAAATAGCAAGCCCAGAGCGTCAGGAAACCTTATGTCAGGTAGATATGCTCTTTATTCGAATACATACATATCCTCAAGCCGTTTGACTTCACCTCTGTTGAGCCCAAAGGATTCTACAATCTTGCATCAGTAGATTCTGTGCTTCTCAGATGGTCCATAACCTCGTCTCGACGTCACAGCCAGGAAGATGCCCATTTCCTACCGCTGCGAGGAAACGGCAATTTCCTCAGCCTTCCCTCTTCTCTTTCCTTCCTCACCACTCTCTCCATCCAACCTCCATCAAAATACCCTTTTATCGCACTAGTTATTCCCCTACAATCTACTCTCTGCTTGTTCTACAATAAGCCAGATATACTCGCCTCTTTATTCATCCTTAGCCCATATACTACCTTAATAATAGTCTCAAGGTGTAGTACAACAGTCGTCATGGCTGCGCTGTTCTTCGCCCCCCATCCCTCAACTCCCCAGCCTCAGCTGTTTCATCCATCCTCATCTTCTCCTGGACATCAGCCACAGTCGCCTTGGATTACCAGAGGAAACGCCCAGTTAAGGCTCCCCACGGATGCCTGTGTGCATGTGGGAAAGTAAGAACAGCTCTTCATGACGCATACCTCATTCCTAGAATCCTAACGCTGTCTAGTCTCTCCAGCAGCGTCTGTCCGAATATCCTCCAGCACGAACTGGAGCAGCTCTTCTCCCAGTTTGGAGTGTGCTGGGCGCAGGTTCGCGCAGGAAGGACAGGTCTTTATAGCGGTTGGGTGCAGTTTACAGTAATTTACCCTTTGCAATAGCGACCGATTTGTATACTATAAAGTAAGATCAGAGCTAATCAACTTCGCTTACAGGATAGGTCCCACGCTCAAGCAGCTATCGGGCAGCACCAGAATATCTTCCTCAGAGATCGTCCTCTGAGGGTAGAGGCTGCAAACGGCCTCAGTATGTCTTCCTTGCTGACTCTACAAATACCCTCATGTCTGACAGTATCGCAGGAAACCGTGGAGAGTCGGTGGTGAACCACGATGAAAGGGCTGGGCTAAACACCTCGCCACTATATATGCCCTCCATGGCCATACCGCCCAGCCAGCCTGCCGCGTATGGGCCTCCTTTATTGTATAGCTGGTTGCCGGCTGTACCAGTACACGGTAGTCTTCACATACCTCCTCCTGTCTCTGGTGTTATACCTCCCGCACCATCGTACCCTACTCATCACACATTATCATCGCAAGCCGCCAACGCACATACACCACAATCACCTTCCTTCTCTTCTTCTTCGTCAAGCAACAATCTTGACACACAGCCCACGACACCTGGCTGCGACGAAGTGGTAGAATGCGAGGCCAATCAAGAACGGGAAGGCATCGAGACCAGCCGGTCCAACCTTCCCTGTGACATGCTACTATCCACTGGCCGCACAGTTAGGGACTACGTTAACGAAATGAAGAGGGTACGAGGTATCGATCTCAATGAAGAGGCTACCCTTGAACTCATCCTGGAGGTGGAGGAAGAGGCACGGGATCAAGGTCTGTTGCCTGTGTTGACGTCCAAGCCAGACTGAGCGATATCAGTTGGGATGTAAACGAGAGGTTTCTTGTAAACACAAGCGCCTCTCACTTCTTTCTCCTCTTGCTTTTTTCCCCTTTCTTTATTTCTCTCTCTCTCTCTCTCTCACACACACATGTTCTTTTTTCTCCCCACCTTTTTCTTTCTGGAATATATAGACCATTGGCGTTTTGAATATACTGGACTCTGTTTATTTAGTCATACCAGTAAAAAATAACCAAATACTCATATCTGCAATCATTGTTTAATCCTGAGACAAATATTACACATTGTTCTTCATTTATATGATTCTATATTCATGTATTCAGACTTAAAAAAGCAAAAACAATAATTGCTGACAATAAGTAGTAATAGACCAACAGAATAGTCTTATGTTAACAGCCTACTACCTGTCTAAATCCCCAGACCCACTCCCTCAACCCAGTTCTGAACCTAAACAAACATCGTAATAAAACCCAAATGCATACTCTTCCATCCCAAACCCCAACCCTAAAGACCAACAACCGGACCACAAAGAACCCCCTTGATCATACACAGGAGAAGAACAGCAACTAGCTTCCTGACCTACCTCTCCGCGAATAGCCACTAAATCCGCACCATCAGTTGGCTGTCGGGGAGCTGTTCAATCTCTGTTAGTACATTCAATAGACCAAGTCGAGGGGAAGCTCAGTTCTGAATTTTCATTAGAATACCCGATGTTAACAAGCAAATCAAGAAAAACACTTACGAGCACCGTAGCTTGACTCAGAGGGATCCAGGACATCGGTAGCGCAGCACTGGGGATATCCGTTCTCTCCGAACTCAACTCCTACTTAGTAGTCTGTCCTGAACTGCGGCCGACGGAATGCGGAAAACCCAATCTCAAGACCTCAAAGCTAGTTTCCATTACTTTCAATATCATCATATTGATTGACAACTAGCTGCATGAAGAACCCACTATCACGAATCGCGAGGAGTGCACATGATCGATTTGGGGAAATATTTTTATCACTTGAAAGGCGTCCTACTGTAAAGCGTTACTACTAGAAGGCCACCTGCCATTCTTGGGTCATTACTTTAGTAGTATGTAGGAATCAAGCCCAAGTAATCTCAAATGCCGCCCAAGAGATACACAGTACATGCTTATGCGCAAAATCATGCCCTGATCGAAATATTCAAATGCCAGTTTCAAATACTGATGCCAATCGTAAATGCTATATAAGTATGAGCCACCCAACCCACCAAAACGCCCGTCTCTATCTTCTATATACAACCCCCAGATGCCCTCGAAGAAAGTAACCAAAAGCAAAATCCCAAAAACGGCAATAACCAGTGCACCCTTGCTCGCCAACATCGATACCCGCAATCAGAATGATGACAAATGAACGAAAGAAAGTAACCAAAAGAGTGATGGAGGAAGGACGTAACAGATCCTATAGGTATAGCAACATGAGATTGACAATATATGCAAAAATATGGGTATGGTATCGAGCAAAAAGGCAAGCACAGCACATGAAGGCTCAAATGATGGAGAGAAAACAGTGAATTATATACGGGGTGAGTTGCGAATTGCCTAGGCTCTGACGCGTCGGGCGTCAAAGTATTTTAGGCTCACGGCAGTGTCGTTCATTCCGACAATTGGAGCAGCGTCCTCGAGAAGTTCCCAGGGGCGGACCGGATACGCGCCGAGAACACGACCACGGTACTGCAACCGAAGGTGGCTGGCAATGCAATTGACACCTTCAGATAGCCCAGCGGGTAGGCCCGACGCTGAAGAGAGGCTCTGTGAATTAGGAGGCCCGCCAGCAAGATTGCCAGTGGGTGTTGGGGTTGAACCACCGGCCGCAGGAGATGGTAGAGACGCGGGCTGGGATGAGTTAAGCGTTGGTGCATCCATCACGGGCCCGAGAAGATAGAGGAACCGGGAATCGTTTTGGAACTGAAGAAAAGGAGGGCATTTCTCCTTGAGGAAACGGGCACATTGTTGTCGTGCTTCGTCCGGGAACGTATCAATCAGGGCTGCTGCAACGTCCAAAGCGTGGGTCTGTAGTAATATCCCGGGACATGGGCGGTAGCTTTCCGACTGCACAGGATGAGGGAAATAATTCGCTGACGGGTAGAGGCGAATAACCCGGTCTGGGAGACGTGCGAGAGTGATGCAAAAGATAGAGACCAGCATGCGAGCTTGTTCTTGAAGACCGATTGGTTTAGGTGTTAGTGCCGCCGTATTGAATGCTGATCTGTGGATGACCACGAGCCTGAGCAGAGCTGAGAACCAAAATGCAAGGCTTCTTTCGAAGTTCGAGCGCGCCTGAGCTATCTGACACGACTCTGCGGGAGTAGACGGGTTTGGCTGCATGGTGATGAATTTCTGGAGAAGCAACTCCATTTTTTCCACCAACATTGGCGCAACAGATGGTACACCCGTTTCGGGAATGCTATATGCTAGCTTTTCAATAATTGCCAGATAAAGCCGAGCGGTTTCAATGGAGTTTGACTTGTCCGCCACTGTAGGATCGCCGATAGGCTCTTCCAGGATAGGAACAGAAAAGAAGCCCTTTTCAGCTCGCTCGCGGATCTGAAACAGTTAGCGAAGATGAAACAAGAGCAAAGGGTTGGCTATTCCCATACCTGTCGCACCGCATCCTGGTTCATCAGACTCACTAAACCGTACCAGTGGGAACGCTTTGAGCGAGCATCAGCCATGGCTGCCTTGAACATCACATCCACGATACCATTGTCGACTCCATTCCCAGCCTCTGCATTAAATAAGAGCTGGAGCTTCAACTGACAGATAGGGAGCGAGAAGTCATTGTTCATGCCAATGACTCTCTCAGCCTCAGACATAGCCTGGGGATCTGGAAGGGTGTTAGCCTAGACCTAACAGGCAGGGAACTGCAAACAAACCTTGTGGATTGAAGCCGAGTAAAGCATCGAGAGCCTTCTGTAGGATCATTGTGGATGCCGGATCTTGACCAACTAACTTTTGCGTACAACATTGTACCATGCGTTCTGGTTTCTGTGTGAGTAAGGTTTGGAGCAAAATCATGGCGCACTTCGTTAAGTCTGCCGCGTTCGCTTCACCCGCACTTTCTGTCTGCCTAGTACTAATCAGTGGCACAGCAGCACGGATGATATTGAGGCACTCCTCGGGATGCTTGTCAATGAACTCTTGTTGCGCTAGATAGTAGCGGTACGTGACCTAGACAGAAGGGTTAGACAACTGCAGGGCATGCTTCAGGACTAGCGGCAGGAAATGAGGGTGCGTAGCTAGAAGCAAAGTGATAATGCATACCATATCTGTGTAACGGCTCCCGCTCGGCTCTTGTGGAACTAGGAGTTCAAGAAGATCCAGCTGCAGATCCGTGACTTTGGGGACTACGGACGCTATCCTTTCCGACTGCAAAAGCTTTTTCACAAGCATCACGAATGCATGTATGGTAACGCAACCAACGCCGATAAGAGGAGGTAGGACACGGACCATTGCGAACCGAGAAGGTGACTTTAGAACACCACATACCCAGCGAACCAGCCTGGCATCGAACCGCTTAGGATGGAAGGATCTCAGGTAAGCCAGGTACCTGCATATGTCATTCGCCGACAGTTTGACGTGACCATTCTCGTTCGCCAATGCCCCAGTCAATGAATTGAATATAGAGTCCATAGTGGATTCATCCATTCCCCCTCCGGAGAATAGGATCTGATCTAGCTTCTCCTGGAACGAAGAGTCGGCGTCATTGAAAGCCATGGAGAGATTGTCCGACAACGGAGATGGTGCAGCTAGGGCGGACTTGTTCTCAATACGAGACAAATCTTGACGCAAAAGAGCAACGGTGTTGAACTCGCTGGGCATCCGTAGCCCCAGCTCGATCAGTGAAAAGATGAGGTCTAAACCGGGCGCTCCAAGCCTCTTGAGGCGAGCATAGGACTCAACAAGCCCTCTGAAGAGATCTGTCGCAGCACCAATAACACTCAAAGAGTCGAAATGATAATTGATGGTATCAGCAACGGAGGCCAGGACAATATTGTCATCGCAGTTTGTCGCCTGCTTGAGCACGTCGGCAAGCATCGAGATATCTCCAAAGCTTTCCAGTACGTCGCGGATATTATAAAACTCGACAGGAGTGAGTGCAGAAACACCCGAATCAGCAAGCATGGGTATATGTGCATATTTCCTAGCAGCTGTTAGGGCTTGGGCATACTTCCAAGGAGTGAAATCAGCGTACCTCACTGGATCACGACAGTGTCCAGATACACCACGACGGATCCACAGGCCAATCTCGGATTTGACTGCCCATGTCAAACTTGACAATGGCTGGTCGGTCAACATTGCATCACTTGCCTGTGGCCCAAAGATCTTCGGAAGGCGTTGAGCGATAGACGCTTTGACAGTTTCAACAGTTGATTCCTCGTGTGAAGCAGTAATTCCGGCGCGACTCAACAGCGTGTTGCGGAGGTTACGGACATATTCTGGCAAACGAGCCAATGGAAGTTGTATAAGAAGGCGTACGTCGTCCGATATTGCCTACAATTCACTTGGTCAACATAATCGTCAACTAACGCTAGAAGAGGCATCTGACCTTATTTTGATCGGGTAAAGGATCGTTCGCTACCCCTTTCGCCATCAGCCACTGTAGGTACCTGCCCACAGAGAATGTCTGAGACCGGACAAGTTCGGCGATTATATGATAGACATTGTCCATATTGACGCGACTGGTTATCTGAGTGTCCGCAAGGAAAGCGAGAATATAAGATTCAACATCCATTCCCGACATCTTCCACTTCCGAAGCAGGCGAACACTCGTATACACGCGGCGGGACCCATGACGAAACGGAGTAGCTGCCCACTCAAGTAGCTTCGCGACCAGAGTAGCCTTGTCTTCCACAGCGTTCAAGCAGGCCGAGGACGTGGACAAAACATCGTGTGCAGACCGTATGGAATCGAACAAATGAATGACATGTTGCTGAGGCAATTGTTGACTCGTCCCTTGGCGGTTAGTGGGCAACTGAACTCGTACGTTACGCTCCGCAAGGTTCTGAAGTGTTGTCTTGTCAGGTAGTTCCTTCAGATTCAAGCATGAAGCGATCAAGTCCTTGTATTTATCCCAGGATGCCGGGAGGATGACGGAGGACGTGTGCTCGAGTACCAATCTCCTGATGCATCGAGATAAACGATCAACTAACGGTTCCAGGGCTGTAGGTTGTCCTGGCTGCTTGATCTGTTACGCCAATTAGCTATGAAAAATAAGCATGAAATTGAGGAGCGCACCAAACGCAGCTTCTCCAGTAACACCTCAGCCAATCGTCGACCACGCTTCCGATAGCGCATAATATTGTTCCAATATATACCGAGCATTAAGAGCCACACAGGCACGGTGTTTAGTGGCGCAGCCTCTAAGGATACCAAAAACCAACTGAGATATTGGTCGTGGTCTAGCAGTCGCTCGAAGAATAAACGCGATGTTAAGCTGACACTATGAAGGGTAAGTAAATATGTAACGGGAAAAGAAAGGTATGGCGTACGCATATGTCATCTTCATCTTCCAGTCTGATGATCCGCAAGTACCTATTACGCTTTCAAGGAACTGCTGGACAGTTGATGTCCAATCGCGGACCCATTTGGTCTCGAGGCCCAGAGCGAGCGTCCCGCTCGTGCCCTTTCGCTTGAAAGCACGGATTTCGTTAGCCCCGACACATCGGGCCAGCCATATAGCTCGCGGAACCGGGATTCCTTTGCCCAAACATTGATCGAGCAGCACCTTGCCTCGAATACCATGGGGGATAGTCCGGCTCAGTCTGCGCAACGGGACGGACGGATTGGCAAGATCCCGAAGCCAAGCTTCACGTTTGTTATCTGTCAAAGTGACGCGCGGGGGAGGTTTGAAGCTCGACGGAGTAGCGATCGTGCTATGGGATTGGCGCTTCTCGAGAGCAGCGGCGAAAACGGACGACAGCATCTGAAGACCCGATCGATGCTTCAACTGCGCGTACAGAGATGGACGGGCTGTATTAGACTCGTTTTGCGAGACCTGCGTACGATCGTAATGTCCTTGTTTTGCAGTATGGTCATTCAGCGTATCTTCCGGGTGGTTGCCCGTCCAAGGGGAAAAGTCCGCGACTCCTAAGCCAAAAATATGCAATTAGACGAGTTCTTACATACGGATAATCGCGCGGATCGACTTACTCTCCCCTTTCAGTTTTGGCGCAACAGGGGGTACAACAATACGATAGGGAGTTGTTTGCACTTCCTTTGCAGAGGCGACATCTGCTGGTTTTGCGCTGTTGCTTCCGGAGGCTTCTTGCGGAGCGGGCTTCCAAGGAATGAGAGGTAAAGGTGGCGGCGATGCAGGGGTTTTCCCCTGAGAATTGGTATCATCTTCCTTCGTTTCCACAGCCCCAGTCGTCTCCGAAATCAGAGCCTGGAACGACCATACTGGTCGACCGCGCCAGGCAAGCGGATTTGGTTTCGAACTTGCGGTCCCTGGGGTGCTTCTCGCTTCTCCACTTCCCGGAGCTGGACTTCCCTCAGGCGGACATGATCCCGGAGGCGCCTCTAGTTTAAGTCGTTTCGCAGGGGGCTCCCGGTCCTGAGAGTCGCTGGTATTCGCGGTAAGGTCGATGACTGCCGGCTGTCGGGGTAGCGGTTGCGGCATGGACATTGACAGCTTCTCCAGCTGCGGGTCGGACTGAACCAGAGCTTGGGAAGCATCAACGCGTCCTGAGCCGTTATTGAGGGCGCGCAGGGAACGGCCCCATGGCTGGACGCCGGCGGAAGAATGAGGTATCATGTCAGCTTCATGGTGTATCCAAGCGTCGGGATCTGATCATTGGCACCGCGCCGTCACGACGGCTACACGACTAGCCTCAGGGATGGTCACCGGACGCTTGTGATGTAGATTGGTGATGTGCCTGATAGAACCAGGACCGGTATACTACACATTCGATCCTTTCAAATTGACTCTGGTGCGGTTAAACGAATCGAGGAGCTGGGTGGAGCGGCTATGGGGTGGAGGAGACGGAGGTTAAACCCCGGTAACCGTCGCGGAACTGAGAGTTTCGGGGGGGCAAGGCGGAAAAGGTCAATGGATCCGATGGCGGAAGAGATGAAAGCGAAGATGCCCAGCGGGAGGGGGATAGTATAGGAAGAAAGCCGATAGAAGACCAAGAAGGAAGAAAGAAGAAGTAAAGTAGAAGAGAAGGAGAGATAGACCAGGAAAAAGCCGAAGACGGTGGCCGAAGAGAGCGAATCTGGAGATAACGTAAGGAGGACCAACTGGCACCTGTATGACCGACCTACCCAAGAAGGAAGTCGCAGTAGCCCGAGAGGGGGCAAGGATTACCGGCTCGAGACGGTAAATTATCCGGTTGACGGCTGCCAGTCCGTGTGGTGCAATACCGCTGTAATACCGGCTATGGGGGAGGGGGGTTTCCGTATTTGCATTTGATGGATCCTCTTGAATTGATGATCGGAGCCAGCTTATCCATAGGCTAATCCGAGGGCTGATAACTAAACTACTAGTAGTAAGTATGTACTCCGTAGTTATCCCTGATGGTTGGGGCTAATAATACCCACAGAATACCTACATCGTACATATTCTAGTAGTAGTCAAGGCCCGGAGTATCTACGGTGTTCCTGCTGCTGAATATCTAGACTGAAACCAAACTAATTCCTGACTTACTGTACATATTCTTTATTTTTTTCCCTATTTCTGTGCATCTTGCCTGATCTACCCGACTCTCCCTCCCCCCAGGCTTCCCTCTCCGCATTCAGCAACTGACGCCGACTGACTCAATCCATGAAGAACTTACTCACTAACCAGAAGATTGTTTGGTCTGTCGGATGGCCTAGTCCACCGCAAGTGATCACGCTATTCGGTAAATCTATCAACCAATCCTGAATCGATCATCTTGGCATCAGATGATGGGGGTCCCCTTCATTCGGATGATTCTGAACCTGCAACTCGACGCGATTACCTGATGATATCGCGGCATATCGCCCCATTCTTCCGCCAGTGGCTAGCAGGCTAGGATCGGATGAAAAATGGAAATTCCCAGGAGCCACTTGAATCAAGAGATAGGGACCATGGCGAGGCGACTCTCCGTGCCTAACCCAACCACAGCCATCTTAACTCCGCAGATCGGCCCGTTTAAGGGCGATTCCTGCTCGACGGACAGTACTTTGGAATTGAATCCCAACTTGTTTGCCTCGCCTTACAGTAGTGACCCCCCCGGGGATTAATCTGTGATGCGCAATCTGTGCGGCGTTTGCAAGGTAATAGAATCTTGTCATGTTCCATCAATTCTACCTGTAGCACACACAAGGTGATACGTGTGCGATCTCCCTGGAGAAGGAGGGGCGAGGGGATATTAATTTTCCCTGACTGTCACAATGGAACAAACATACGGTGAACAATTTTCAACTATCCGATTCAGTATCCCGACTAAAAACCAACCCTAGATGGGGACTATTCAAACTTTGCCTGAAGCACACTTCCGTCTCTTCCTTCTCCAAGACATTTTTTCCCCTAGTTTTTCGCCTTGAAACCCACTCTCCATCACCCTGTGGGCCGTTGGATCAAGGGGATCCCATTCTCTCGGATTCCTCCAGTCTTCTCCTGCCTAAGCGCCCCGAGCCCCGTCGGGAAGATCCATTACCGGAAGATGTTAGACATGTGTCATGATATTATTCTTCTTAATCATCCCCGTCGCTGCCATCTGCCATCTTCAAACGTCCGGCTGTGGGATGCACCCCCTCCACAGTGGCATGACACTGCGTGGGAGACTGTGAGGACCGTATGACTATGCCGTCTGATTCCAAGCTTCTCCGCATCTTAAGTGGCACATCGCTGTAGATCTTCCCTGACCTTTTAGCCTGTAGATGGATAGATAGATATAGTGTTTTGATTGCCTTCAGGTCGCCACAATTCCCCCGATCCTTTACGCACTAGAGCACCTACGTCTGCCCTGTGCTACTGGGTGTCTACTCAGCAGAGATCTCCTGTTTTAAATACGGGGAACAGGGATCCATGTGCTGAACGCACTGGATCATCCCGGAAACTCCGAGCGCACAGACTGGCGCATCACGGGCTGGTACCAGATACTGGCCACGGAGCAGCCTTTCAGTAACACCTATCCTAGCCGCAGGATGCAGTGCAACCCTGACCGTCCCAGCTCGCAAATGGCCACGGTGAGATGAGCGGATAGGTACACAAGCATGGTCCGGATTAAAATCGGGGTTTGCGAAAGGGGCTGCTCGGTTCTGGACAGCCACGGAATGGGTCCTCCGTCGGAAGCCCAGCCCAACGCCCCCTTATGCACATGAAATAATAAATTGAAAATGAAATAAGTATACGCCTTGTTGTTGGAATAGATAGATCAGTCGTGAGACTCTCCATTTTCTTATCATTTGGTGTATCTTTTTCCAGAAAGCACCGTGCATGCGTGTGTATCTTGTATCGCCCGCCCGGTCAGAAGTGGGAGGGCGGTGGTGTTTACGACACCTGAGCTGATCTTGATTCCAATCGCCGACCGTATCACTGTTGATCGCCCCTATCGCTTAAAGTTAGTTGATCAGAAGTACAGAGCAGGCTGACCTGAGTGTTCTGATACGGCTCAACCCGAAGATGAGTGATCTCCGAAGGGATCTCTGTCTGGTCCCTCATCTCTACAGCTGTCCTCCGAAGGGGACTAAGTACGCTAATCTAAAGGTGCCCGGCCTCGGAGCTAAGCAATCACACGTCTTGAGTGTGGTTTTCGCTAGTCCAATAGTTAATATAATACGTACGTAGCATTCGTTAAGAGATAGCTAGAAGCTAGCTCTGATTGCGATCGTCTTTCGGTCGCCAATGCGTTCGCGAACTCATAATGGGATAATCTAATGAGACAACTTATCATCCGGGGGAGATAAACCTCGGATCCGGGCAGCCTTTCCGCTTTGGTCTTGGCGTCACCCATCGCTTGGTTGGCCTGTTCGCCTGTCTCTCAACCTGAACGAAGGTACCTCTTTCACGGCCTGTGCAGTAGCCTCGGAGTATCAAGCGACAATATGGCATCTAAAAAGGACATGCGGAGGTTGGACCTCGGTAAGTATTACGTCCTACTATCGAAATATTCAGCTTCCGATTTTGAGCGTGTTCGCTGACGTCGACGCCGACTACTAGCCATCCCCTACATCGACCCTCCCAAGAGCAAGGATGAGGCCGACATGTCTAGTATGTGACGAATGGATGATGAATTACATTGTGGATGGGATAGCAAGGACAATGTGCTGATTGCCCCGATTCAGGCGCCATGTCCAGCACCATGCCTATGGCTGCGGTCAGTCGCGAACCCTGATCTGAAGATATCGTGCCTGTTCAAGCTTCAGACGCGCTAACACTTACAGCAGATGTTCACCAGGAATAGGTGAGCGCAAGCTCTATTGCCTCAATTGTCGGTGTGAGTATATTCTAACAAAGCTCGCGCGCGCAGAATGATCGGATGGTAGGTCAATAGCATCTCCAACGTTTCAACAGCTGGCTAACTTGAGTCAACTCAGGGTCTCCTTCGTTTTCTCGCTTCAGTCCTGGCTCGGTGAGACTCCAGACCAGAAGAGAACTGCTTCGACTCCGGCCTACATGTCCGTCTTGATGTCCTGTACGTGTACACATTCTGCCCTCGCTACAAGGGACTCGTGAACTAACTGCTGCATGCGCTTATAGTGATGGCTTTGGTGGTTGTATGTTGCCGGAAAATCCTGACGAACGATAGGATCCTCTCTAATGTGCATTCTATAGACCTACTTCCCCATCTTCCTGCCTCCCCAGAATGCGCGCGCTGCGCCGGGCGCTACTGCTTCCACCACTCCTTCCCCTTAAGCGACAACCGTTTCTGTGATACCATTGCCGACGAGTTTCGATACACTATAATACCACGAAGTTTTTCAGTTCGCATTAAAAAGGGAAGAGTTGAAAAGTTGGGTTTGACGGTAGTAGAACGAGGAAGGACATGAACAGTCCAGAGCCCTTCGGCCACCTGTCATTTACTTTTCTGTACAGGGCGAGATTGTGATGCTGTATGAACATCCTAATACCTCAATTGCCATAATATTATCATTATCTCTCTAGAGAGGCCTGAACATAGTTTGATTGCCAAAGTTACTGTGGCGAGCGAAATGCCGTACTAGCCGTCCACAACACATTTCAGGGGTCCTGTGTCTCAGGCTTCGGTGCACGTGTATGGCATGAGCTTGGCATGCCGGATTTGCCATGTAAATCATATGTTAGACAGCAATAGACAAGCTCAACACTGCGTAGAATCTACGTATGTATGAGGGGAGGCCGGGGAAAACGGAAGGAGGGAGAGGAGAGAGCCCTTGGCGGTTGCCACCGATGTCCAATCAGCGCCCCGATTTGGAAACCCAATTATAACATTTGTCTAGAAGCGCGACGCCTCTTCAGCCCGCCAAAAAGCTAAAGGGTAGCAATCAGAATGAACCTTGAACCTAGGAGACGGGCCAGTCATGGATGGAACGTACCAGATCACCGCGCTGGAAGGGGGGGAAAGAGGGCTTAGTCACGGGCACACCGCCTTCCCCCACAAGGGCGCTAAGGCAACGCCGCGCCCCTCAAAAGGCTCTTCTGTTCTTCTTCCTGTTTCCTTCCCGACCACCACCTCATCCACTTTTGAACCTCCAACTCCAAGTCTCCCAAGACTCTACGATCACTTCGATTTCTACAGAGATCTAATTCTCTTCCCTCGCTCACTTCCTATACACCGCTTTTAAGGGCCGTTTACGACGAAAGGCCGAGTTTATGTCCATCGAAAACCTTAAGACCTTCGGTGAGTCGCTTCGCCACCTCCCCCCCCTTCTGTGGACATCGTCCCCAGGCGCCCGCAGCACTGCCCGCAGCAGATGTTGGTCTTCCTAGCGATGGTCTTTTGAAAAGATCATTGTGAAGCAGACTGTGTCTGCTAAGGCTTGGCTGTGTAGCCAGGGTTGTCCTTGTCCAACTGCGTCACAAGTTGGCGGGGTAATATTTGGTCATGAGAGCCTGAGGCTGACACGTGCTCTTCCACAGACCCCTTCGCCGAAGCTGACGAAGACACCGGCGAGACTAAACAGTCTCAAAATTACATCCATATACGGATTCAACGTATGTACTATTGTTGTCCCTCCCACGTGGTGCCTTCACCCTGTCATCGTCGCTGGTGGCGCCACGCTATCTCACCATCCACCTATGACTAACATGTATATGTCTACAGAGCGCAATGGTCGTAAGACCTTGACTACCGTCCAGGGTCTTCCTAAGAAGTTCGATCAGAAGAAGATCTTGAAGGTCATCAAGAAGAAGTTCGGTATGTTGTCGCCTACTGCCTACGTACATCGCCATGTCACTAACATACCCTTTCAGCCTGCAATGGCACCATCGTCAACGACACTGAGATGGGAGAGGTGATTCAGCTGCAGGGAGATCAGCGTAAAGATGTTCAGGAGTTCTTGACCGACAAGAAGGAGGGTCTCGAGCTGGACGCCAAGACCATCAAGGTCCACGGTTTCTAAGCCAGACGCCACGCCCCCGTTCCGGTCCCTTCTTCCCAGTCTACGTTTCCCTCAGAGCGGTGCGGCAGGGGACAATATGTGTCCACCTGCCCTCCTTCTGATGTGGCATTGCGGTCCCCGCCACTGCCACGAGGGTTGTTCGGTCTAATATATTGTCTGCTGCTACTACCGCTCTTTGCCCGGAATACTGGACTTGGGCCTTTTGTCGAATTGATGCACTATCAAGTTGGTCATCTTTCCATTCGCGACTAGGCAATGGAAAGAGGCCCAGTGGGTCTGGCTTCCCTGACTCGACTGCTACATCTGGAATGGGATAATGACGGAACAAGGCGTTGGTAGATACCCAATATCTTCATAGATGATTTACTTCTTCTGTTTTCTACTTCTTCTGTGTCGTGTCTTTTGCTTGGCTTCGTGTGGCCACCAGTACGTGAAAGGACAAATATCGGCCTGCTTTGTTGCAAGGGTTGATTAAAGGATGGGGAGGCTTGGTCTCGATCACTCGTTATTCTTTAAATGTTCTAATCGTTGGTGTGTTGCATCACCGCCTTCAACTGTCATTACCGTATCCTTGCTCGAGAATGAACTTTCATTCCTGGCGGAATGGTTTTGGTGAACTACTCTTTTTTTCTTCTCGGTTCCAATCTTTCTTCCTCCTACTCTCATCTTCGTAGTTTTCGTAGTTTTAACCATTCTTACGCATGTGTCTTTCAGGCAAGGGAGTACACAGTCGCTGTGTCGTAGATTTAAGCTATCTACGAATGTTGTTTAGCGCAAGAGGGTACACGATTGAAATAATAGCTAGTCTATAGAAGCACGCATTGCGCCGCTGTACATCTGTCGATAAAACTGGTCCCTTCTAGCTTACAATTCCCCAAGTGGAGCCCGCCCATCCGACACTCGCATACGAAGGAAGATAGCCACAGCCCAATCCCAAAGCTTGCGAGTGATGACGAAAACGGGCACCTCGGGCTCATTCTCTCGCGTCAGATGCAACTGAAGGAGAAGCGATGACATGCTGACGAAACTGGCGACAGCCACGACGAGAAGTGCAGCTGCGGTTTCACGCTTGATGGTCGCGTGATTCTGGGTAGCATGATAAAGGAAGGTAAGGGTCTGATTTGGAAGAAAGGGGGAGGAGTTAGTTTGACACATTCCGATTATCGAGGGGAATCTATGCAACAAGGGTTGGTTCAGAAAGCTTACAGTGGTAATGGATATCCAGGCGGGTAAAAGACAACGGGGGTCGGACGAAGCTCCGGAGAGGTAGAGGACCCAAGAAGTGATATAAGCAATCAAACCGTTTGTAGTAAGGAGACGAATAACAACAGCTGGTGGGGTATAGTTCAAAAGCCTGGGAAGGTTAGTGGGAAAATCACATGAAGGTCAGGATCCGAGGATGCATACCATCGAGACATCATACAATCAGCAAAAAAGTAGGAAAGATACGCGGATGCACTGCACTGTAATCATAGTTAGATCTTCTCTCCCAATACAATGCTCAGAGAAGAGAGGAGAGATTATCACATACCCACATAATAGCCAAGGCCACCTCGGTTACCCGGAATCGTCTTTCAACATCCCAGTCTTGACTAACACTCCCGACAATCGCCGCCGCCCACCCCTCATGTCCTATGCCTGGTCGAATATGCAGCAGTTCGGCCAGGAAGGTGAAAGCACACCGGAGCCCCCACCACGCGGCGGGCACGGTGCTCAGCGCGCGACAGATCAGTAAAGGCAAATACCATTTCCGATCAACTCCTAGAATGACGGCCACTCGGGGATGAAGGGCAGAAGGGACCGAATGACCAGCATCGTTGATACTAGGAGTGGGGGAGGTGGAGGAGGCCGGGGAGGGCGGAACGACGGTCGAGGGGGCGGAGGAGGGGGCCACGGCTTTATCGTTGGAATCCACTTTTGAGAGTATGGAAGCCAGAGTAGTATAGAAGGAGGAGTTGGGGGTCGTGGGAATGGAATCCGACAGCGAAGCAATCAAGTCAGGTTCAGGATAAGACGACCGGGCATGAGACGTTGAGAAGGATGGAGAAGCAGCATCACGATAAGGAGGAGCCAGCCTTAATACCCCGGCATATGCGGCCGTCACGCAAATATTACCCGAATAAGCGGCAGGCAGATCCGACGAGAAAGAGTTGGTGGTAGTGGTAGGTCCAGAGCTAAATTGTCTCTGATCGGACCCCTAAGCGGTATAGTAGATTCTCTGTTTGGTGCACGGCGAAACTCCACGAAACAATCAGGTAGGCGGTGCTATGTCCGCGGCGGTCGGTAATGCTTGGGAAACGCAACGGAGGGCAAGTCCGAATCAATGAGCACACGCTCCTCCTGTCGTTCGAGAGAGAAGGCCGAGAAAGGACGCTGGGGGAGATGCACGACAGGCGGGAAAGTGCATGGGAAGACTTCAATCCAAGTGAAGCCAAATCAGCCAAAAGGCGAGTCTCGCGGCGGAGAACCACCCGCCACGTGACCCCGGGGCCGCTCGGCGGAATTTCTTTGGCTTCGTTTTCGCGCTTCATCTCTTGCGTCCAGCTCTACCCCGGCCTCTGCGTCTTGCTCTGTCCCGTCTGTCGAGGTTTTCCCTCTGGCCGCCTACTCTCGTCATGGCGTCCTCGCTGTCCAAGGGCCCCGTTTTCTCGGCCATTCGATCCAGCAACACTCCCTTCTTTGCCTTCCACTCCGGTCCGGCCATTGCTACACCATGCCAACGCCGATACCTTTCCCAATCCTCTCAGCGCAGTGCTGGCCTCCGCGGCATGCCTCAGAACATCTCCATGCCATCGCCCGCTCAACCTAGTATGCGAACCCGGGGTAGGGGTATGCCTAGGACGGATCTTCCCCAGGATATCGGACTTTTGCCGGGCACCTTCATCCGGCCGCTTTGGAGAGACATGCCCTCCATCTTCCAGCAACCCTCGGAGCGTTTACATATGGAATGGCTGTGGATCAAGTCGGCTTTTCAGAACTTTGTTGGGTGAGTCCCTGTCCCTTCAGGACCGCCGCTCAATGGCTGCCAACGTCCGAGCTGCTAACAATATACCAGAATCCTCGCCTACTGCAAATGGCTCAACAAGGGCCTTGCACTTAGACTGAGAGAGCGTCGACAAATTGCTGCCGGATACCATCAGAAGATGTACACTGCATTTGCCGCGTAAGTGTTCAGTCCACTCGTCCCACGACATCATCTTCTCCCATACAACTCATTAACAATCCTCGCGAAACATAGCGGCGATACTTCTACCTTGCGCAAGGTGTGTTGCACCGGTCTTGCCAACCAGCTGAGCGCCCGCATCGCTGCTCGTCCCAAGGGCGAGCGTGTCACTTGGAACCTGGACAGTTACATTCGCTCCCCGGGCACCTACTTCACCGGTGTTCGCGTCATGTCGGATCGTGCGACTCAGATCCCCGAACTCCCCAACTCCGGAGTTCGCCAGGTCGTCCTGCGCATCACCAGCCGCCAGTCAAAGGGCACGACCAAAGCATCTCCCAACGGTGCCCCCGCTGACAGCACCGCCGTGGCCAACAACACCAAGCAGCAGGACTGCACCGAATACCTCGTCATCCAGCAGTTCCGCTGGTCCGGTGAGGAAGACCAATGGCGCGTCTGGGGTCACGCTACCCCCACGACCGTGGAAGACCTGGAGAGTCCCTTCTTCGCCCGTGGCATGAGCCTGGCAGACCGCATGGAGGCCATGAAGGAGACGATGACTGGAAAGAAATAAGCCAGTCAACATCCGATCCTGAAACCCAACCCACCATTTGTAACAAGACCTGAGTGCAACCCAAGCCTCCTCTCCACTTAGGGGCCACTCCTTGAACCAGCAAACAAGGGCCGTGTGTGGTTCGCAAGGCCCGCATTGCATTGTATTGATACACAGTGACGAAGCACAGCATAAAAGTGTGTTCATCTGTTAGCTTGGTATCTGCTACTATTACTACTTACTACTACACATCATCTCCCCCTCCCCTCCCCCCAATCCTCTTGCATCTGCCGTTGGCTGCGGAATCATCTTACTGCTTCGCATCCAATTCGATTCTTATCATGTGTTATTGAGAACTACCCGATACCATGCAGTCGATTGATCCTTGCGCGCTTTTGTGTTCGTCGTTTGTTCCTTGTCTTTGACGACAGACGGACTATATCTGGGCTCATAGCATATCATTCTCGCTGCAATTCTGTACTATATCTGATTGGCTATTATCTCACCAATTTGAGTCTTGTAATTATTTACACTTCAATGACTACCTTTTGGGGTTTACAGTTGGGGTTTTAGTGGTTTTTGGAGATGATTAGTTGGGTACTGTTTCGTATCCTGGTATCGAAGTCTTGGAAAAAACAGTAATCACAGCGGCCTACCCATCCCAAGGGAAATACTATGTACACATTGTAGTAATAGCTGGGATTGGCAAGAACAATGGAAATAAATAAAGAACAAGAATGGAGGCGGTTAAATCGTAGCAAAATGGGAAACGTGGTATTCGCGTAAGATTAGGGGCAGCAACAAGAACTGCGAGGTTGGGTCCGTTCAGTAACTTGCGGGTCAAATGTTAGAGACGATATATCTAGTCGTCGTCAAAGATTTGGAAAGTGTTGACTAGGATAGTCTCAATGACTCGGACCTGCCAGCCGGCATCTGCAATGTTGCCGCCAGAATTGGCACCCATGAGGGTGGGTCTGGGGGTTGTTAGTCGGCAAGATAGAGAGGGAAAGACTGTCACGACTTACCCGAAACAGATGGCAATGTTTCCTGCGTTCATCCGATTTTGTGTGTAATGCTCTTGGATTTTGTTGAGATGCTGCAGTGTGTTAATTCACAGGTCTTCAATTAGGGCAGGGCTGAGTTAGTAGACATACCAGTATCAAAGCCCTCAACGTAGCGTAATGAGCATCCGGAAGGTTGTTAACTAGCGCATGGAGTGAATCACGGCGCTGGATGTCATCATCGATGCCTAGATAGGAGTGGTTAGCGCAAAGTCATACAGTCTTGGTTAAGGTTACTTACGGGCCGCATTAATGAAGTCGTTGTAGAAATGTGATGTGAACAGCGGGTCCGGCAGGTCCCGGAAGAACTGCTTCAAAAGCCCAGCGACACTGTTAACATCATGATAAAAGTTCTCTGGGTTGGTAAAATCGACTTGCGATGAATCTGCCGTTCGTTAGTTAGGGCTCATTCCTAGTGACTCGAGAGGCCAACGCACCATTGTCGAACAGCGCCTTCATGTGGCTGATATGAGTGGCACTACCAGAAAGTCGATAAATACCCTCCATGTCCAATCCAAAAAGCTCAATAGCCTGGAAGCATTGGTATACAATCATTGGAACGGCTGTCCCATCCCGGGTATATAGGTCATCCAAAGATACGCCAAACACCGGCTTCAAAGGAGGAAGGTTAGGGCTAGGCTGGAAGCCATTCCCAGTTGGTCCCAGCGGCGTCTTCGCCGGTAGCGCAGGAGCTTGATTCAAGTGATGTTGCTCAGATCTCGATGTGGGATAGGGAGGCTGAAAAGGCGGAGACGAGTATGAATCAGGGTTTTGTGGATATGGCAATGATTCAGTGGCTGGCGGAGAAGCAAGTGCCGGCGCCGGCGCCGGAGCTGGAGCCGGAGCAGACACTGGTGCTGGTGCTGAGGGTTGAGACGATGCCGGAGTAGAAGAAAGGAGGTTTGATTGCGAGAATGATTGAGGCAGGAACATTGACTGGCGCTTATTCTGCGTGGTCGGTTGCGAGGCAGGCACAACGGGCCCGGAAGATGATCCTCCAAGTGTCTGGTATGCAAGACTCAGCTAAGAACATATTGGCATCGGTACATGCAGGACTCACCGGATGACGTTTGTATTGAATTTGGTCTGAAGTCACAGCAGCAGGGTTCCGCTCATGGCTGAGAACGTACTCGTTGAAGTCCTTCTCGTTGTCAATTTGAGAAACGACTTCATACAAGCTCTTTGGAGCAAGAGCAGGGTTGGCCGAGCCATCTTTCAATGGGCTGATGGCTAAACCTTGTCCAAGAAGCAGCTTCTCGTTAAAGGTTGCTACAAAGTGGTTAGCATGGATCATGCAACGAAGTGTGGGCTTCGAACGCACCGAATTTCTGCAACTGCAGTGTGAGACCAGAATCGCATTCCGCAATCAGCTTCTGAATGTTTTTTACCGCCTCAGGTCGCAGGGTCGAAACCAGCTCCTGTCGCGCCGACTGTGCAGCCTGGACCTTGGAAGCATAGTCCGAGTCAGCGTTCTGAACCTTGCGCAGCAGCTCTTCTTCATGCTGCGCAGCCGACTTGTGACCCTTCAAGCCAAACTTTCCACCCTGCTTATCACCAGTCTTGACCCGGTCGTATTGTTCGGCAAGCGATTCGTACTTTGCTTTAGCCTTCTCCGCGGAAGTTTCCGCTTCCAATACCCTCTTCTCCGCACTCAATCCGGTCTGCTTCCATTGCTTACGGCCCTTTTCAATAGTGGACGCGAGTTCGTTGAGATCATCGGCCATCTGCTGCAGAGACACGGAAAACTGAAGTCCGTGGTCCGCCATGCGGTCGTGGAAACGATTGAGTTCATTGTAATTGTGACTGTAAGTACCTTGGCGGTTCTCGTTGCGGTACGCAGAATCGTGAAGGGAACGAGAGAGCTTCCGCAGGCCTTGCGCATGCTCTTCTTCCAGGGATGAGCGTTTCTTGAGAAAAGTAGAGAAATCCTGTAGCCATTGGCGTCATCGATTAGCGTCCGTGTGCTTTCTCTGTTACTTGACAGCGGTGGGGGTGGAACCTGAAACGCACCTTGGCCGAGGAGACACTTTGCTTTAGTCGGGTCAGGAGAGTGGTGACACCGATCTATAAATGAGGGGACCTTCCCATCAGTATGTCATGACCTAACTCATAAACATGCCATAGACATCACGCACATCTGAGTAGACAACTTTGTCCAGACGACCCTTCAATTCTTCCGACATAGGGGCTGGGCCGGGACGGGGCTCTAGAGCTCCGGGGTGGCCGGTAGAGCCGGCACTCGATGGTGGCGCATCGGGGTCATGCGCTGGACTATCGTGTAAAGCGGAGTCTGCCATGGGGGGTTGTGCGGGAAAGGCGTTAAGGCGACTAATGAGCGAGAAGATAGAAGAAGCACAGATGTACTGAAACGGTAAGTTGGAGGGGGAAGGGGTGGGAGTGGGAGTGGGTATATAGTTTGATAGTGGTGGATAGTAAGAAGCTCGGGGGTAATTGCGGAAGCCTACGAACTCCCGACAGCTGGAGAGTTGCTATTCCGGGTAAGGCTGCCGTGGGGGAGGCTGAGGTGGTGTGTGTGTGGCTGAGTCGTCAGTCACTGGTTCCTGATTGCGTTTTGTTCCTTACCGTAGGCTACTACTTACTGCATTGATCTACTCCCTAACTAGTTACTACTTCCTTGATTGATAATTTTGTCACTTACATCATTATTTCCATCATAATTCTGATGAATAATAACTTATCTCCGTAACTATTGGATTTAACTATTGAAATTAAATGACTCTTCAATATTTTTATGCA